ATTTTCTACATATACACTTTACAACTTCTAAGATTCATTTCTCATCTTCCGAGCAGCCGTTAGTTTCCTTCCATACAAACACAGCATGGGGTTATCCATCATAGAGAGCAGATCATGTCCATTATTTTCTTCCAAAGCTGTTTCATAATCCAGCAGAATAATTACATTTACAAGATTAGATTTCACGCTTTGCAGTGGAAACTAAAACTTGATTGCATTTTTCTCTACTACTGTAATATTGGACTGATGCTGTGTTACATATGTCGAGTTTTACACCTTACTTCTGTGTGTGTGTGTGTGTGTTTGGTTTTATAGGCCGAGGCTTTATGTTATTTCCACACAGTAATGTGAGTAAGAGAGATGATAACATATGAGCGGTGGGTTTTGATTATTAATATCATTCATATTACTTACATAATGGAGAGATGTGATACCTCACACACTATTACAAACTGCATCCTGATATGAGGCTATGCTAACTGATCTGGCCCTTATAGCAGGTGTCTGAGTTATATGGAAGTTGACTGAAAGGATATCTGAGAACAGCAAATTCAGGTTCAATTGCTCAATTAATGCCACGGCATACAGAGGACAACTAATTGTTTGTCTTATTTGGCAGTCCTACACAGGGAATGTCTAAATGCCAGCACTCCAAACAGTTAAAAAACAAGAAGTCTACAACCATGCTGATGTTTAGCAGGTATAATGTTTACCATGTTCCCTATCTTAATCTTAGCATGCGATCATGATAACATATGCTAGTTAGCTCTAAAGTACAGCTGTGGCTGGTGGAAATGTCATTGGCTTTTTAGGTATTTGGTCTTACACCAACAAGTAAGACAAATTAAAGGACCAGTGTGTAGGATTTAGTTCCATCTAGTGAGTCAATGCAGATTGCAACTCACTTGTTTCACTCCAACCATGAGGGAGACACTACAGTGGCTGTGATCCTCGCAAAAAAAATGCAAGCGCCGCTAACAGTTCTTAGTTTGTTCGTTCTGGGCTATGAAACATGGCGGCCTCCAAGAAAGGCCACCCGCGACGTCTGTAGATAAAACCAGCTCATTCTAAAACACAACGATTCTTATATTCACGTAACTAATGAAAACGCACTTATGAATGTTATCTGCCAACAGATGGTGCTACATGAAAACCCAGATGATCGGCAAAGTTGCAATTCATCCTGAGTGGTTGTCTGCACCAAATGTCATGGTAAAACATCCAAAAGTCAAGACATTTCACTCAAAATAACAAATATCAACCTCATGGTGGCGCTAGAGGGAAAATCAGGGGATCACTGCAGTCATTAGGATTCATCCTCTTGGGAGAGTCAGTGTCTCTACAAAATATCATGACAATCCATCCAATAATTGTTGAGATATTTCAATCTGGACCAGTGTGGTGGACCGACCAACCGACTGCCAACTGCCAAACACAGAACCAGGCCAAAACATGGGTTAGCAACTGTCCAACATTTCTGGTATGTTTTATGAAACAAGTGTTTTAAATGCAAGATAGTTTTAGTCATCCTTCTCAACTAACTTTATGTCATCTCTTTTCACCACCTGACCAATGAGAGTCATTAAAACAAACTATCTCTCTCTCTCTGTTTGCTTTTTTGTCAAAACAATGGCTCAAATGGCTTAGTCATTCATGTCTCAAAGTTTCTACTGGAAAACTGCAAGAATAGGGTAGCTCTGGTAGCTCACCTGTCCTGCCTGAGGCTTTCTCTACTGTCATTGTCAATAAATCCAAATGTCAAGAAGGAAAGGAATAGCCAAAACATTTGCTTTGAAGATGTCACCAGAAAGAAACCATCACGATATATTTTAAGGGGCTCCCCAGTAGCTCACATGGTCCTTACTGCAGCGGCCGGGGTTCGATTCCGGCCCTTGCTGCATGTCATCACCTCACTTTCTCCCCCCTTTCCTGTCTACCTTGAGCTGTCACTACCCATTAAAGGGATAAAAGCCTCCAAAAAATTATTAAGAAAACAAACGTTTCAGTTTATCTATTAGAGGTGAGAAAGGCTGAGTACTCCCCTTCAACTCTGGGGAGAAATCCAAAAAGCTAGTGCAAAATAACAGCATTAGTTATTGTGCTGTTGGCTTTGAGTGATCCTGTGCTGTAAATCCTGTCGCGATGCAGGTGAATGTATGTCTTAGTTAATACGCTGTTGGTGTTAATTGTGTGCTGTAAATCAGGGCAGGTACACTACAATTTGCTTTGGACTAAAAGGGTTTAACACAGCCTTTAGGTACAAGCAGGGGGTTAGTTAGACCCAGATTAGGTCATCTTTGAGGCATATTGGTGATGTTCTATTGTGAAAGCTAATTTGGTCACACAATGCGTGAAACCCATCATGCAGCCACAAGCCTTTCAACCCCACTCTATTTCTAGCTCTCTTAACATTTTTGACATAACTCTCTACTTCACTCCCACATGTATTGTCCCTGGAAAGAGTTAGATCAACGTAATTGGAACGATAATTAGTTCCCACAAGGTTCTGTGCCGAGAGGAGTATCAATAGGTGTTATTGATCTGGATCAAGTGGTGTTCAGCTCGTGCATGTCTATTGATTTGTCTTTTTTTTTCATTATATCCTGTTCAATCTGTGTTGTACATGTAACAGGACTCACATTCCCACACATATTTCTTGAGCAGCTGAGCAGAATGCTGTTGAAATGGTTTAAAATGTTGTGCTGTGGTTTGAATGAATGAATGAATGAATGAAATAATGCTGGTTTGGATTAATCTGTAACTTGTAAATTATCAGATTGCTAAGGAATCCCGAATAAAGAAAAAGTGACATATTTAGGATCATGCAGTGTGTAAGAATGTGGAACAAATATATAAATATAATTTCACCCAGTAGCACAGAGTGTCTACATGTTTTTAGAAGCTATTTAAAACTAGCAACTGATTGATCACTGATCAGCCAGCCTGTAGTACTTCATGGATAACTAACATCATTTTAAAATCTGTTCTACATTCAACGGGTAACCAGTGTAGATTGGCTAACACTGATGTTACGTTTGACCTGCAACGTGTGTTAGGTAAAAGTCTAGCAGCCGCATTTTGGATTCTTATTTTCAGATGATTATTCACAAATGAAAACGTAGCCATGAATATTTCTTCCAATATATCCTCCTAAATGTTACACACAGGACCTTTAAGTGCATATTTAAAATCTTTTTACAAGGTTTCCCCTTTAAAACAAGTCGGCTAGAAACATTAAAACGTCAAAAGCTCTACTTTCATTCAAATAGAGCTAACGTTAGCTTAACCTCCGATAATAAAACCTTTAAACAAACAAAATTGATGGACTTTGGCTAAAAATTTAATTTTTTTTCCTTTTTTTCTATCTCTATTTGAAATCAAGGAACCATTGATTGCCACCACGACAGATTCTGATGTTGTATCTTCCACAAATTGTCAACTGCATGCGCAGTGTGAGAACAGAAAGCTTGACAGAGGAAAGGCGGTTAGCAAATGATAATTTTATATTATTTATACTTTCCTACGGAGGTCCCTGTAGCTGCCACTGGAATAAATGCTCAAAACTATTGTACTACCCAAGGTGGTGACAGGTTTGTATTTGTCAAAGATACAGAGAGTATACATGAGATTACAGACTGGGTCTGACATGTTTTATTTTGATATGATATGATATGATATGATGATACAGAGATCTAGTAACACACCTTGATCAGTCCCCAGACTCTTAGGACAGGGCTGATCCATCAGGGTTAAGACCTTTCCCAACCCACGCCCTCTAGGACACCAAGGCGGTCTCTTTAGAGGTGAAGCCTGATGCTGTGAAGTTATCTGAAAGTCAAATGATGTTCCAGAGTTGGAAGGCTCCAGGGGATTATGTTACAGCACTAAGAGCACTACACGTGTCAACCAGGTGAACACCACAGATTCACAGATTTTTAAGGTGACACGGGACTTTGAACTGCAGACACATGGAGGGCTGTTGTAGGTCTGCAACCAAAGAGGACGATCAGAGCAGCTACACGCTCCTGCGGCAGAACACTGATGTCATTATATCAAATAAAAGAATCACAAAGAAAGGAAGTCACGCAGGAGGTAGATGGATACCTGTGGGGGGCCACGGAACAATGTGATGCATGAAACTAAACAGTCTACATGTGCTCGTGCGTCAAGGGTTTGGAGAGCTGAGACACTGCGTCATCACGCGTCCCTGTTGACACTGACGCAACTACTTTCCAAAGAATGTCTTCATGTCTGTCTGTCTGTCAGCCTCACTATTGCCTATAAAGACCAGAGCTCCGCCCAGTGGCAGGAACTGAACCGGCACCCTGTTTAATCTTCTTTAAATAAGTCTTCATAATTTGGAGTGCAAAAAAGAAAATACATGCAGCCTCTACATATTTATGTGCCAACTCAATATTCTTTTAAAGCACTATAAAGTGGCAACACATATCTAATCTAATCCAAAGAAAGTGACATTATTCTCCTGATAAACTGTATCCCTGTTGCAGCGTTTCTCACAAACAGCATCTGAGCAAACGCAGATGTAACAGTTCATATGGAGGAGCGATTTGGACATGTAAAGATAGATTTCATTGATTTCCCATGTAGATGTTGCTGTTTCTCCTTCCTTATTAGAGAGGTCATAGGTCGAGAGGCTGTTAGAAATGTAGGAATTTGCAGTCTTGATGGCACAGTTTGGATACAGGTTGTATTTTCAGGAAGCAGATGGAAATCCACAGTAAACTTTATTTGTTTCCCTCCACTGATGCAGCTTTTGAGTGTCATGGCCCAAAATGTCATCTGTTAACTCAATCAAAAACACAAGACTGACTGAGTAATGTCTCCATCATCACCATCTGACGCATTCGGCCTGTTCACCCACCCTTTCTCTTCACACACACGCGCGCGCACGAATTCACGCACGACCTTGGCGCAACCCCTCCCTCCTCCGGTTCGGCTCAGCTATATAAATCTCCTCTGTTTGGAGTTTGGAACCAAGGTGCAGCGACCCGCAGAGTGAAGACTGATCGAAGAAAACAATCGCACCAACGAGACATCCGCTGCTGTGAAAAACCACCTGTGGTTCCGACCTCTACCTGTAAGCTCCAAAGTCTTCTCAAAGTAAGTCCTCGCACTCTCACTCTGACTCCAATAGGAATAAATATGTGTTAATAGGCCGTATTCTGTGCATAATCCTATATAGAACTGCATTCGTAGAACTGGTCGAGGCAGACGACCACCCACCTAGAGCCGAAGGGTCTGTCCTAAGTTTCTGCCTTTTAACAGGCAGTTTTTCTTTGCCCCCGTCGCCAAGTGCTTGCTCATGGTGGTACTGTTGGGTCTCTGTAAATAATGTTATAAGGAGTTCGGTCTAGACCTGCTCTATTTGAAAAGTGTCCTGAGATAACTTCTGTTATGAATTGGCGCTATACAAATAAAACTGAATTGAATTGAATTCGGACGGATTTTCTTAACAGTTTAGAAATACCTGCAGACCGAATAGAAGAGAATTTCTGTGAGCAAGATTTTCTAAATAAAAGCCTTCTTGATATGTTAAATGTTTTGTTCAGCCAATGCTTTTTTTTCCTTAAAGTTTTTTCTACCATCGACTGAAAAAAGCTCACAATCTTTGCAGTCAGACTGTTAGTTCAATTACTTTTTCCAACTTTATTTATGACTTGTCAGGGTGCGCAGTTTGCAGGTTAAACCTAAAGTGAGCTTAAAAAAAAAAAAAAGAAAAGCATTGTTGCATGACAACAATTTTAAGGAACTCTAAACATGAACACAACATTGGCGTTAAATTGTGCGCTTCACAGCTCTGAGGTCGCGTTTGTGCATGAAGTTTGAGTGAAATCTCACCTACCTGAGGTGAAGCCGTTCAGCACCACGGACAGCGCCAGATCCGAACCACACAGACAGATGCCAGTCAGGTCTCCTCACTGCGGCCATATGCAGAGCCGCTCTTTAAGAGGAACAGTCAGATACACTCACTTTTCTGTTTCAAACATCACAGGCTGCAGTCGAAAATAGCGCAGTTGTAACTCATCCTGTGAACCTGCAGTCGCTCTGTAATGTGGAGGAATGAGAGCAGACAGAAGGGACCTGTTGCTCAGTGTAACTCGACTCAATCTGTAAAAAGACACCTGCCGCTGCATTTATTATTGCATGAGGGTTTTAAACATAGGATGAGGGATTACATACAGTACAGTAATATTAAATAACGATGTTATTATATGTTATACACTTTATTTATTGTCTCACAACTCAGACGCTATAATAAAGATTAGAAAACTCAAGGAATATGGTAAAAAAAGAGTGTAGTTTACGCATTCAACACAAAATTGGCAGATACATACTGTGCAGGTGGGCAGAGCAAGATATTAGTATTAGATTAGTAGTCATAATAATAAAGTTATAACACAGTTCACTTGTTGCATTGTTCAAATAGGCTTTCTCACATTGTAACTTCATCAGAAGCACTCTGTTTTAGCCACAGGGGCGGCAGCCGGCACCCAGTTTGGTGTCAAATGCTGTCAAATTGAACTAATTTATGTAGATTAATTTTAAAAAGAATGTGTTGAAAAACGAAAATGAATGAACTGATCTGTTATGACCACATTTTAGACTGACTGATAGTCTTAAGTTTAATGAAAAAAGGCCTGATTTTGGGGGAAAAACGTCTGAAGATTTGGAAATAAAGCAATTTATTGATTTCTGATGCCATTTCTATTCAGTGCTTTACTAATGTGCCACAATAATATAATGTTTGTGACTTCAAATACTGATAAATGTGATTGTTGCTGCCCTCTGGCCGCCCCATGAATATTTGTGTGGATTAGCCACCACACTCTATCAAATAATATGAGATTAAATTAAGTTAAAATGACAACAATAATGTTTGGAGGACTGAGAGCCATGGATCAGAGAGGTATAGTTTATTGTTATAGCTGCTTTCAGAAAATGTAATTAGCTGGCAAGTTGTTATTTTATTTCTGTTTGTATGTATTTTTAATATGGTTATTTGGAACCGCAGAGCAGTCAGCCCAGTGATTACGAGAGTGTCAAGTGAAGCCAAGAAGACTGAGATTTTGACAGGCGACGAATACTTGAGTCTTGACCATTATTATTAGTAGCAGTAGAATCGGTGATTGTAGGAGTCTTAATAATAATATTATTAATAATATTAATAATAATAATAACAATGATAATAATAGCCGTAAAGCTCACATAAAAGAAATTATACAACTGCCTCTTAATACACTAGAATGGAAATTAAGCTGTTCCAACAGCATACCGAGCATCATTAACATATTTTACATTTTCATACTGACTTAAAATATGTCCATTTCATAACAATCATCAACCCAACAGCCTCCCTGATGATGTGTGAAATTAGTTTCCTCCACTGGAGTCAATCCATTTTCTTCATCCTCCTCAGGAACTAAACAACACTCAGCCAGGGGAGTCTGACAATAAGTCAATCTGCAGCCCGGAGAGGTCTTTTTTTTTCTTTACATGATACATATTGACTTGTTTAGCTGCTTCAAACACCTCTATTTACTCGTCAGCCAACTGAGCCTGAGCAGACATTTTCTGGGGAAAACAAACGACAACCCTGCGCCCCTCCGGGGAGGTTTGACACGCATCGCCCATTTTTCTCATTAGAAACGAAAGAGAGAAAGTCTATATCAGCCCTTGTGCCTCCATCATTTTCAATTTCCTTTAGAGTAGAGGTGTCGTGGGATTAATTCAATCAAACATCTGTGATAGGAGGCAATATTTTCTTTTAGTCATTGATTTTTTTTAACAAAACATATTACTTATTTTCAACTTTTTCATCACTTCGACCAATGATACAATGGAAAACAAGAGTTTGCCACACTTCAATTACCACATTAACCATCAATAGAAAAAAATACATTACAGAATCGACTGAGACATTCATTTAACTTCCCTAATTCCCCGCATCTTGCTGCCCTGTTACAGATGGCCGTGATGCTGAAGCCCTGGACGGTGCTGGTGGCCGTAGTGCTGTGTGTGCTGGTGTGTCTGGGAACACTGGCCGATGCCTACCCCCCCAAACCTGAGAACCCCGGTGAAGATGCCCCACCCGAAGAGCTGGCCAAGTACTACACTGCCCTGAGACACTACATCAATCTGATCACCAGGCAGAGGTATGCACACACACACATACAGTACATATACAGCACACGGTATGGGTATTTGTGCACATACACTGTTTGTTTAATCTTATATATCTGTAGTTTAGACAGCCCAATAGGCATATAAGGACAGTGGTAAACTGTCCAAAATGAGGAATCTGCCTGTAAGAGGGTGTAGCTCTCAGGTAGGTTTAAATTAGGAATGAAAATTATTTGTGAATCCTATATTTAATATTATATTTTAAATATTATGATTATACAATCATACACTGTAATATGTTTAAATAAGGCAAGGCCCTCCTAAGACATGTTCTGACCCTCCAAATGTGTTGATTTAAATAAAATTCCAAATCAATCATTAAGATAGCAATTTCCCAATGCACTAATGAACTCACTGGAAGTGTGTAAAAAAATTGCCAAATATTCTAGACACATTATTATTTTTGCAATAAAGGACTAATAAATAAAGTAAGGGTAAACTGGACACTTTTGACCCACAGCAATCTTTTTTTTTTTTGTCTTCCCAACAAATCTGACACGGGAATAAAGTATAAATCACTGATTAGAGTAATAAATCCCTCCTCTATCTAAACTACCCTCCCTTTAGCTAAAATAAAGTTGACAAACTCTTTTCTGTTCACCCCTCCCTCCCTAATAATTTCCATACAGTCCCTAAAGATAAATCTTAAGGTTATGGAGGATCCTCATTAGGATATATAAAGGTATGTCTGTATCGTCCTTCTGTGTAATGGATATGGATTCTGAAAAATGAAACTAACCCTTCCCCAAACTTATTTTCCGGTCTTAAAAGTGTAACAGCAGCTGATCTGAGTCTTTTTTGCTTCTTCCCATTTGCTCCTTTAGTCCAAATTTCATTTTGCTTTATTCAAGCCATTATAGTGACCGAGTTCTATGAGTTTCCCGCTCATACTTAAGCCCAGAGCTCTGTCGATGTGTGATGCACTCCGCCCCTACTCAACCCCCACAGCCCTTTGCCCGCACACAGGAGCTTAGTAGATTAGATTACTGGCCACTCTCCAAAACCTCCAGGCCTCCAAATCAACGGGACCAGAGCAATAAAATCAGCACAGATGGACCCAAGAAAGAATCCCAAATCCACTTAGTGGGGCCTGAGCCGAGGCCTGCTGCTCGCAGGTATAGAAGTCGGTATGGAAATGTCAGAAGGCATATTTTTTGATTTGAAGCAGTCTGGCTCCTGAGCTATTTGTTCTTATTCATGAAAGCCAAATAGGTCGTTGATATTTAGATACTTGGTTTAAAAAGGACTTCTAATGCCATAGAAAGTCAATTTGTTTCAAGTTAAACGTTTTTACATTTCACCGGCGGTTGCAGATGAAGACATATGTGATAAGAGAACTCATGGTTCTATGAAGGTTTTGCTGTATCAGATAAAAGGCTGGGTAATGTGATGGCTGTGTGCTTTAGGCTGTGCTCACAATTAATGGATCTGGGCTGTCAGGAGCCTTTGGTGCATAACTATATACAGCAGTTCATAGCATTGTATAATTGGACAAATATACTATAGTGGGCTCTTTATTAAAGACATGAAAGTAGAGCTGTTGCTACCACTGAGGTCATGTCCTCTGTATTTTTTATGGGAATACTTCAGCTTTAACTCCACTGTAAAACCCAGTTAAAGTTAGTTTGACTCAAACTGTTTGAGGAAACCATTTAAGTTGATTAAATCAAAGAATGTATGCATTAAAGATATTTGATTTGAGTAGAAGTAACTCTAAAATATGTATCATTAAAGTAACTTGTGTAAATTAAGTTAATTGTACTAATTCCATTCAGTTAATTGAAGTACACTCATATGCAACATTTCTACAAACTCAATTAAAATGTGTGAACAGAATTGATCTGAATAATTAAATCCATCTTCTTTTTACAAATGTTACCGTCAAGTTAAATTTACTTAGCATCCACAAACGCACTGTCAAAATTATCACAAAAGTGGCCAATACATTTTCATAAATAAAAAAAAAATAGAACAATCCTAAGCTATTCAGCATTATACTGCTTACATTTGTATAATTATATTAAGTCTACTTAAAGAAAATGAGTCAGTGGACTTTTACAAAGATTATACTGGGGTTATATTTCTGACAATCGCCATGAAGATTGAAGAGAACAACAGGCAAGAAGAGGCAAATTGGCTCTGGAAAGCGAGAGTAAGAAAGCCTCAGGAAAAGAACAGAGAAAGCTGACATACAGAGACAGGGAAAGACAGTCAAATAGAGAGAAAGACGGCCAGACAGATAGAAAATAAGAGCAGGACCAACCAGGGAGATATATGGGTCCAGACGGGCCATTATCAGAGGGGGTAACATTTTACATCCTGATGCGTCGCACTGTGTGACAGCTGAGGCAGGGTGCGTGAGCTGCTCGATTGCTTTCCTACCAGGCAAGACACACACACACACACACACACACACGCACACACACCTCTGTGTGTTAACGAAGCATAAGATTGGGTACTGGGGTCATAGGGGGAGGTGGAACAGGTGGTTGATGGGAAAACAGAGGAGCTGCAAGTCGCGCTGCAGGGGCTGTGTTGAATAGCGCTGTTTAATGCACACACACAAACACACACACACACACATTACCAAGTAAACTTTCTGTTAAACGGCTCTGTGATTTTGCATTTGCGGCTCTCTGTGAGCCCCTGGTTTCCTTATCAAGAGAATCGTAAGACTCATCCACACATGGAAAAGACACCCTCTTACGCACACCGGCATTAAAACACACACACTCTTGCGTGCACAGTCTGAAACTGACTGTGAAATTAAAGCATTAAGGATAAAGTGATGGGAAGTGAACCAATATATTAAAAGGCAGGCAGGCAGGCAGAGGAGGACACAGATGATGGACAAAGAGAGACGAGAAGGCAAAAAGACACATTTGTATTGAATTGTCAGAATGTATGACATAAACTCTGCACTTGATTTAACACAGTGAACCACCACGACCACCAAAACCGAAGATTTTAAAGAGGCTCCTCTATGAGACAGGAAGCAAAGTGTCATGGGCAAAGAAGTCTCAGTTTTGAAAAACAGAGTTGCTTTCATTTGTCTCAGTCACAGATTTCATCCGATTTCACACGTAAAGGTCACAATTGAGTCATATGAGTCATGAGGAGGGCTGTTCAGCCTGTGAGGGTCATAGTGATGTAATTGGGGTTCTAACAGAAAACTTGCGTTACAAACTGGAGGTGTGGAGTTTGACGGGGGATGGCATTTAGCAGGCTGGGAAGATCTAATCAAAAGATCCAGTATCCATTTCCTTTATGGGAAATCGTTATGGGATCCAGGGTTTTGACCCATTAGTGAGTAAAATCCAAGATATTTCGACCATCCTCTGTTTTGTTTAAATCCATCGATCAATATTAAGTGCAATACTGTATATGGACGTAGCCTCTGTAACGTCACCCATAGGTTTATGAAGAGCCGTTGGGAAGCTCAGTGTAGTCGCTGCCACTCAAAGCAACCACGCCCTTAATTATGCATAACTTTAAGCCTTAATAAAGCCACTTTAAGGTGGGGCTAGATGAAAAGTCAGGGGATCGCCAAAGTTGGTTGGATTCATCTTCTGGACACCATGGACATCTGTACTAAATTTCATGGAAATCCATCCACTACATGTCAATACATTTGCCGCTAGGATGGCTAAAAACTGCTCTTCTTGGCTCTCTCCCAGGTATGGAAAGCGTTCAGCTCAGGAGGATGTGGTTGCAGAGCTGCTGTTTGGTGGCGACAGCAACAGAGACCAGAGATCAAGGTAAAGACCCTCACACACATAAGCTGAAGGAGTCATGTGACCTGTAATGTAATGTTAACAATTTATACAAGCAATTAAACATTCCTTCTTGTGTTCTTCCACAGATACGACGAGTCCTACATGTGGTAACTCCGCCGCCCATCTCCCTACTCATCGGGCATTCCCTCTGGGTGCATCCCACAATGCATCTGGAGGGGCCGAAATGTGCCTCTCATCCTCTGATCCATGAACCCGACCCCAACTGACGACCATCACTGACTGGGACACAAGCTCTCTCTGTCTCTCCTGTCACTGTCTCTCATTACAACAAAATTGTACATAATTTATTATTGAAATAAAATATATACATATGAGATCAGAGCTACTAATCAGTAGGTGGAACTGTGTCTGTGTGTGTGTGCGTGAGCATTAATGTCCCTCTGCTGTCCAACACTGTTTAGAGGAGGAAATTCTTGTTTTACTGTTGCTACTGTAAAAAGGAACATCAGAATCAACGAATAAAAACGTTTCTGTGTGATTAAAATTTGTTGATGAATCAGGAAGTTTTTGGGGGATTTGGGGGATGATGCTGTGGGTGTGTAGAATTTACTCATTTTATATCTGAGTCTGGACCATAGACTGTATAATAAATAGTGGATGGAGTTTCTGGTACTGAGAAATTAGGACAATGCAGACGTACCTGCATTGATTCTAATGGCCACCAGGGGGCAGCTCCATTGGTAGCAAAAAGAAGCCCGGGTGCATGTAATGTAATAAAAAAATGACCCTACTTCTCAATTGACTTATTAGCCGAGTCCAAGACCATGACTAGCTGAGACCAACTCAAAACTGAGTCCAAAGAGGTTCAAGTCCAAGTCAAGACCAATTCAGAAAAAAATGGCTTTTGCCATTGCCAATGAGCTGAGCTTTGGCAGCCCGGTATATGATGGTTACTATGGATTTTGAATTAAACCAATGGCTGTTTTCTAAACAAGAGCATTCCATTTTGTTCTGAAAGAGGAACTTCCAAAATACAACAACTGTATATTGCTGGACTCAGTCAAGACCATGGCCAAGTCTGAGACAAGTCAGAGTGCAAATACCAAGTCAACAAGTCTGAGATAACAGAAAAAAACTTCTCGAGACTAGACTCAGGTAAACAGCACTACATTTAGTAAATGATACTCCCATTTAGAGTAAAATAGACCATAAAGCAGGGTATGCTTTAGGGCGTGGCTACCTTGTGATTGACAGGTCATTCTCATTGAGTCCATCCAGCTCAATGCACGAAAGATACTGCATTGCCTATTTCTTACCTACAATCTTGTCAAGGTCTAACAAGTCTTACAAGTCTAAGTAATTTCCTGAAACAGCAGGGCACTGTAGTTTTTAGCAAACGTTACTCAAACAGGAGGAAACAGTGCATTTGTTGGGGACCATTTTCAGCAGTGGATTAATACTAATCCTCTTTGTTAAGAATTCATCACCACTTTAGATTTAAGACTCATGAAGATTGTTAAAAGGACTGGCAGCCTCTTAAGGGCATCTAACTTGCTTCTCACTTCATGTCCCATTGGGTTGCATCTACAACATCTGGTTCATTTCCAGCACATAAAAAACAAGGGGCACTCTTCTTCCAGAGCGAACAGATGAAAAACTGTGTGGATTCAGGGTCAGGAGGACAGACAGTAGAAGGAGAAACTGAAGGAAAGATCAGTTCCAGTACATTTAGCCTCTTCAGGAAGGGAGAGACATTGGGGTTAATGAGAAATCACAAACACTAACATTAACATTAGTGCGAGACAAAAGCTGCCAACCGCAAATGTCCTCATGGTCAATTACACCATAGTTGGGACCATAGTAAAAGTTATAAGCAATAATGTTGTGTTTGTGGTCCTTGGATTTACAACACATTTACATTTGTAGAGTAAATATAATAATAATATATATAATATAATAATAACATAGGATAATATACAGTACATTTGTTTGTCAGTGAATGACTTTGGCAAATAAAGTCAATGTATTTTTATGTGTGGTCCATATAATATGAAAAATATTAAATATTTATTTGGTTTTCCATATTTAGTCACCTTCATTAATGTTTCAAGCCCAGTTTGTGGCAAAGGCAATGGTTATCACTCCAATACCTTTCTACTAAAAATATTTTAAAAAATAATTAAGTGGGTGGCCATTTTGTACATATTCTCTGTCTTTCTTTATATTATTTAGTTTTTTATATATATATATATAGTCAAGACTCAATACACCTACAAAAGGTGCATTTTTATTTGTACAAAAGTAATACAATTACTCATTTATTTATGGCACTACATTACATTTTTAATTAAGGGGTATGTCGTGGGAAGAGCAGGAATAATAGTGGGGTAATTACAGCAATAATAACAAGGTAATGATAATATCTCAATACTCTCAGAGAAAATACAAGTATTATTCTGTTATTAACATATTTTTTGATTTTCTGCCCCATTATTACCTGGAGATATTTTTACATGTTATTATCCTCAAATTTCTGCTCATTATTACACAAACACAGAAAATAAACCCCATGTTATCACAAAGGACACTAGTAGCACCCAGGTTGTTCCCAAGATATTGCTGCTGTCTTACCTTGTTTTTACTGAGCTATAATATGAAGTAATACCCACCACTGCTCACACCAGAGCTCGCCAAAGCTTTACAGGGCCTTCTTGATTTTAAGGTAGTAGTTCATTGATTTCTGTGAAGAAAACTTAATTAAATTGTTATTTTTAAGGTTTGGATTATTATTTAAGATCTAAACTCCTAAAACCTGAACACAAGCTAAATTTACAGAGGCTTTCTTCTCTGCTTAGCAGCCTCGTCCTGCATTGGAGATGTACGCAGTTTTTACTACTGAAGAGCTAATAGAACAATGGCCACATACCAGAAAGAAGAAACACTGAATCTGTCAAAAAACCTATTTAGTATGTATGATTGTTAAACATAAAAAATACAGACAGAGAATTGTACAAAAAGTAAAAAATATCAGAAAATAGAAAAAAAAGGAAATAATCTGGTCAGAATTCATCCAAATCGCTCGTTTTACACAATTCCTGCTGCTATTGTGTTCCCTTTTGGGATTCATTGTATCATTGTATCATTTATCAGTTGTTCTGTTATGGTTATGCATTAAATATGATATGAAATGTCTTCAACTATGTCCCTCAAGGAAAAAGGTTGGGAAGCATTGGTGCATGCCCCAAATACAACAGCTGACACACAAATCAACTCAATGTGGGTGTAATAGTCAAATGTCTCCACTGTGTGCCGCTGTTGCACTGTTTTCACATATCGCAGACCTACACCTACTGCTGCAGCATCCTTCCAACTACAGAGCTACATGGGAACTTTGGATGATATTTTGTTTAGGGTTTAAGGTCAACTGACAAGATTAAGTTGAAACATTTTGCTCGAAATGAAGGGGCACGTCAAAACTTGAAACTTCTGACTTTTATTTTAGCACAGGCCTGTTACAGTGCCTTTTCATGCCTTGGATCTCAATTTTAAGCTCTCTGGGTTGTTACAGGTGCCACAGTTTCAACTCTGGCTACTTTAAGTAACGTTAACTTCATAGAAAGGCAGAGAAAATACAACAAACAAAAACAATGCACCTGCCATTTAATACTCCTATAATACTCGGTCTAGGTGTCAAGTTCCAAGGAATATGTACAATTTTACCGGAAACGTTTCGAGTATGCCTTCAAAATTAGGTTTAAATGTTAAACGTATTAAACTTTCACCCACTTCATGGTGCGTACTGTATAGTTTAAGTCGTACATGTTGATTCTCAAGACAAAATCAATCGTTTAACATCCGTTTTTTAATTGAAACTTCATATATATTTCTTAAAATAGTTTTATTCTGAAATGTTCTAGGAAGCCACGTCCATTTCCCTGTAAGAATCGACACCATCACGGTCGCTGACGGCTGAAAAGAAACCAGACGACAACAAGAAGCGCACGAGACATCCCAGACAGTGGGAAGCCTGCCTCATTGTGTTGAAAGGTAGGAAAACGGCTTCTTATTGAGCGTAGCCACGGACCTGCGCGGCTTTACTCTCACATACTACAGTCGCCATTGAGCATCTTGTGCTTCTTTTCCCTCTTTCTCCTCCCTCTGAGGCTCGTGAGCTCAGCTAACGTTACACTGGACTGGCTTCACAAAGGTGCGTACGTGTGCGCGCGGGACTGTTTGTATATAGTAGCGCTACCAGGGCGACATATAAGCTAACGTTAGCCAAACTGCGTTGTTTTCGATAGCATCTTGTTTGTCAGGGAGCCTGTGTGTGTGTGTGTGTGTGTGTGTGTGTGTGTGTGTGTGTGTGTGTGTGTGTGTGTGTGTGTGTGCGCGCGCGCGCGTCATTATGCTTTGTTATATGTGTATGTGACCCCTGAGACCACTCTTAGAAGACCCCTCTCTCTCTCTCTGTGTGTGTGTGTGTGTGTTGTGTGTGTGTTAGGTGAGGGACACACTTTGAGGGCTGCCAGTGATAGAAAAGTTAACATTGTATAAGGTTTAATAGAGTAGAGCTCATGAAACACACTCAACTGATAAACGTCAAAACAAAACGTGACAAAGCACTTGCACACACACACACACACACACACGCACCCCCTATACATTACACCAATTATGGACATAAAGATTATCGTAAACATCATTCAAATATGGAAAATGAACGGCATTGTATCTTAATTCATGAATCCTTTTAAAACAAATATGTTCACTACACAACACAGTTAAAACCAAGTTTTTGCAAGAACACCTTTTGTGTACTGTTTGTGTGTGTGTGTGTGTGTGTGTGTGTGTGTGTGTGTGCGCGCGCCCCAGTGGCAACATTGGTTTCTTTACATATTGGTGCAGCTTAGCAGATGGATGATGGTGGGAGACGCGGGGAGGAGGGGCAGTGATGGAGAAGGGAGGGTGTAAACAAGGGAGCAGGATGTCAGGAGGGGAGAGGGGGGCCATCAGGGGGCATCAGGGGGGCGTGTGAGTGAGGGAGAGAGGAGAGGGTAGGGGGAGTTGATGATGTTGAGAGAAGGAGACGGGGGTAGAGGGAGGAGGGGAAGAGGATGGAGGGAGAAAGGTATGAGAGAGGAGGAGAAGCAAGGTGAGGAGGAAGAGGGAGGTGGAGGGTAGCAGATGGAGTTCACAGCAGTGTGAGATCAGTAATTAGTGTGTGTGTGTGTTTCTCTGTGTGTGTGTGTGTGTGTGTGTGTGTGTGTGTGTGTGTGTGTGTGTGTGTGGGTGTGTGTGTTTGGCTCTTCTTATAGTCCAGGTGATGGTAGCTGAGCAAGCTTTTTCTCTCCTACTGTTGTGTGTGTCATGAACTGAACATTCATTAACTGTTAGTTGTCGTAATAACTGCAACATTTTCATGATATTGTGTAAATAAAACTAAAGTAGAATTAGTAAAATGATTCCACTGTATAGAAGTTTTTCCTTTCAGTATTTAGTTCTGGGTTTTAGGGGATGGTCTGTAATAGTGCTTGTTACTAATAAAAGTTATTCTTGAGAAAAGGCAATTTGGCTGTTTTAGAAGAACGTGACTGAACAGTTCAGGACCAGACACGCTTCTTTTCTTCTCACAGCTTCATATCACGGCTAATAGCCAAGAGCTTAGTATGTGTAATCCAGTTTTGTCTGGGTCTAACTTTTAGTCCACCTTCCTCCTCCTGTCCTGTGTCCAGCTGGGTCTAATAAAAACCACCCAGTTTCCAAATCCTGAAAAATAACAAAGAAATGTGTCTCACAGCTGTCTACAACTGGATTGGACTCGTAGTACCCAGAATTAGTATCTTGTAGTGTTTCCCATCACGTGTGCTGTCATCAGTGTGCATACAACCAGTGAGACAGATCAATGATAGAGGCTGATATATGGATGTGAATCCTATCTTTTACAGATCGTGATTTACATCCAGGCATCCCTCCATCCTCCTCACAAGCATCATCCTCGCTTTCACTCTCTCTCCGGCTCGTGCCTGAGGTGTTGTGTAATGCCTACTCTAGCATACGTAGCAATGGGAATGTGTGTTGTGTGTGTGTGTGTGTGTGGAGGAAAAACTGAAGGAGGGCGGGTTTCCATGGCAGCTATGAGCTATAGCAGCAGTCATAGCAACACAGTGAGATAGATAGATAGATAGATAGATAGATAGATAGATAGATAGATAGATAGATAGAGTTAAAGCTGCAGAAGTAGAGGGGGTTCCATATACTAGTTAAGGGGGTGTGCCTCTTTGTTCTTCTCTCTCTCTCCAAATTTCCATTGTATTGTCTGTTGTCATGGCAGTGTATAGATTAGTTACGCCCACATCCCCCCCCCATTCACTTTTGTGTCTCTCAGCTGCTCAATTCCAGAACGATCGCTGGAGCTCCGCCCTCCCATGCTGATGTCACAGCCTGCCGTGTATGCGTCGTACTTGTGTGTTTTTGTTGTGCTGTGTTGTGGTGGGAAAAGGAGGAGCTTGCATATGACGGCTGTAGGGCGATAATACAAACACACACACACACACTGGTTGTAGCTTCATATTCACAGATATGAGAGCGGTATCAGTCTTCTCATTTAGAGAGAAAGCAAAACAGTGTTTTTCCAAATACTTGTTTCTTCCTTTCACCGCGTTTCCTTCCACCGCCTTCGACTGTTGGGTTCTGTATCGGCACTGAAGCAGTGTAAGGGTGAAGGGTCTTGCTTAAGGGCATCTCTACTATTCAGGGAAGGAAGAATCAGCGTTTCTTTTCTTCCTTTCTCTCAGCAAGAAAGCGAATAAGCATAATTTCACAAAAAGAGTGCAAACTCTGATGAAAATGTCGGGATATGTTTGCTCAACTAGATCAGTATGTTGTCTGATGTAACATAAACAGTACTGCATGCGTCTTGGGGAGTTTTGACTTGGCATGGCCATTATAGGCTGAAACCCAAGTGTAAACCTATCCTGACTGGTACTGTTTTGAAGACACTTTAATATTGAAAACCTATTATTTCCAAAATGTCACCTTTTCAGCTGCTAAACCACAAAACTTCACACTCTCTATTTTTCCCACTCTTAATTTCCTTTCTCTCTCTCTGTATCTCTCTTTCTCTCTCTCCCAGATTGACCGAAGCACTACCATGCCTGTGGCCTCCACCAGGACAGAGCCTGGTGAGATCAGACACCTTCCTCCACATTAGCTTCTATCATCATATGATTATTCGCTGTGTTTTCTTTATTCACGCCCACCGTTCAAAACCAGTTTACAAAAGGGCTCATCAGTGTGTGAAAAACATATACCAGTACAATTATATCTGACTTAAAGTTCCAGTGTGTAACTTTTAGAAGAATCTATTGGCAGGAATGGGATATAATATATAAGTATGTTTTCATTAGTGTATAATCACCTGAAAATAATCGTTGTTACCTTAGAATAAGATGTTTTAATTTGCGAACACCGTGGGTTGCTTTCCGTGGGGTCCGCCATGTTTCTACGGACGAACGCTGGCTCTAGATTTTTGCATTTTTTGCATGTTTTAAAGAAACTAATATTTCACCTCAGTAATACTGTAGTGGAGTAGTGTTCGACCAAGGGACACTGAGAATGAGGGACTGAAACCAACACTAGGATTGTTTTAGTTTTCTAAAACTTGCAGAACATGTGGAAGATACTAAAATAAAATAAAAACCAGTGAGCTTTGATTACATCATGTCCAGAGGTCGAACAGCTACATCAACAAGTATCTTCTGTGTGTGTGTGTCTGTATTTGACTGTGCGTTAAAGTGCCCCAGATGTTGGACGCGATGAGTGACAGCACCAACAGCTCCACCACGGCCAACGACCTGGACCTCATCTACCTCAAAGGCATCATGGAGAGCCCTCTGGTGTGGTACACACACACAAATGCACACACACTTTTAATTACAACCATAATTTAGATGGACTTACACACATACTTGGAAAGCCGCATCTCTATCATATTGTTGTGTCTTTGTGTGTTAGGAACAAGAGGAGAGCCTGAAGGAGCCGCGTCTGTCGCCAGTGAGGGAGAACAACGTGGAACTCCTGCAGGAGATCCTCAGAGACCTGGACCCCTTCACACATCACTCCAATACTGTAGCTGAGCTCACCAGCATACTCACACAGCCTCACTTCCAGGTGTATTTTCTCTTCACCCAGTTAGTCAGAACAAAAACGCAAATAGTGTTACATATTTATGGGATCTATTTTATGTCTAACGTGGTTTTTTTTTCCTTTTTGGTTTGTCAGTCTCTGCTGGAGACTCATGATTCAGTGGCGTCCCAAGCATGTGATAGCCCACCCCCCAGCCCATGTGACTTTGTGGATCATGAGCCGGAGGGCGCCCAGAAACACAACCTGCACCCGCCTCCCGACGCAATCCGCATGGTGGGCATACGCAAAGTGGCGGGGGAGCATCTGGTAGGTAACATTAAAATAAAAAGATACACATTTATGACTGTATGCTCAAGGACCTCTCATGATTGAGTTTTTGACATTTTTGAAAAACCTATTTTGTTGATAGCTCTGTTTATCTATATAAATTGGCTGCTGACTCATCACTCCTTTTAACCAGCTGGCAGGTGACTGCAGTATTCACCATTTTACGTTATGCGTTACGACATGGCAAAAGGCATTTCTGGAAATGGGCTTGGTTAAAAACAAGGCTTACCTAGCCTGTTGCAAGCCACATTTGGACCTTTGTTGTGGCTCAGAAACCAAAATCCAAAGGCCGAGCAGGGAAAAAATAATGCAGCTGGGACACACCTGGCAGATATCATCACTCTACTGTGTGCACTTTTCTGATTATAAAATTCCCCCTGGGATTAATAGTATTAAAGTAAAGTATTTCTGATTCTGATAAAAGCATTTAATCAGTGACGATGCAGTGAAAATATTGACATTGTAATAAGAAACTCAACAGTTCCTCATGCCTGAATGTTTTTAGTATAACAGTACACAACAGAGGGTTATGTGTAGTTTGTCTTTACTCACTACAGTAGAATTTTGTAATCATTGATGATACAAACAATAGCCTACATTAACTGTGTTTCAGGGTGTGACCTTCAAGGTGGATGGCGGTGAGCTGACCATAGCCCGCATCCTCCATGGTGGGATGATAGACCAGCAAGGACTGCTGCATGTCGGAGATATCATCAAAGAGGTAAGAGACCACATTAACTAAGTATACCTTTACTGACCGCTTCCATTTTTTTTTTTATTTTGAAACCCAAAATCACTGATCACTCCAAAAACACTATATGTCCCCAACTAGTGTGTCTTAAAGGAACAACACATGCTCATATCTTAGCGACCAAATATGTAATTACCAATGACCAAAACTGTTGGCCGTTTGATTTAGGAAAAGATCATGGTTCGTTATCATGTGACTGATCCTTGACTGATCTTAACTGTGGAGTGCCTCGCGGCTCTGTCCTGGGTCCTCTATTTTACAGTTTTTGGCTCACCAAGCTTTTGTGATACTTGTGAACTTCTTGCTTACCTTTGATCTTGCATTAAAAGTGCTGCAAATTTGCTTATTAATGTGTCAGTTCATAAACTTTCGTTTGTCCAATGTCTTGGCAGGTGAATGGACGAGAGGTGGGCCAGGACCCCAGGGTTCTGCAGGAGGAGTTGCAAGCAGCCAGTGGAAGTGTAGTTCTGAAGATCCTGCCCAGCTACCATGAAGCCATACCACCAAGACAGGTGACTGATACCAACAGTATACACAGAGTAGACGCACATTGTGGCTCAGGTGGTAGAGCTCGTCACCCACTAATCAGGTTGGTGGTATGATCAACGACTCCTCCCGCTGAATGCTGAAGTGTCCTTGAGCAAGATACTGAACTCCAAATTGCTCATAATGCTGTGCATCGGGCTTTGCCATCACTGTATGACTATGGGTGACTGTGACCTGTAGTGTACAGCGCTTTGGGTGGTCGGAAGACTAGAAAGGCGGTATATAAATGCAGTCCATTATGACTGTTTATGAAATAGCCAGAAATAATATTCAATATGAAGCATACATTGTCAACTGCATCACAGAGGACACAGAAACAGACAAGTGTGAATATTGACCTGTTTGTATAACTGTTTCTCCAGGTGTTCTTTAAGTGTCACTATGACTATGACCCAGCCAACGACAACCTGATTCCCTGTAAGGAGGCGGGCTTAAGGTTTGAGACCGGAGACATCCTGCAGATAGTCAACCAGGATGACGTCAATTGGTGGCAGGTGGAGTACAAAAACAGCATGTATGAATTTGTATGAATAGATTTTTTAGAGCTGCAATGATTAGTTGATAAGTTGTCAGCTATTAATTTAATCGACAACTATTTAATCAATTAATCGTTTTGAGTCATTTTTGAAGAGGAATGGAATGGAAAAGGAGATGTCCAAATTCTCTGAGTTTGGCTTCTCAAGTGTGAAGTGATTCTGGTTTCTTCAGTCCACTATGACAGGAAACTGCATATCTTTAAGACATTTGAGGACATCACCTTGAGCTTTGGGAAACAGCGATCAGCATTTTTTTTTTGATTGACGACTTATCGATTAACCGAGAAAATGATCAACAACATCAACAATAATTATTAGTTGCAGCCCTAATAGATTTAAATTTATTTGTGTTCTGCTGATCCCACAGCAGACTGAGACCACATGACCATGAGTCTTTTTGTTGACGTATATATTTTGTGGTGTGTGTGTGTGGGTGTGTGTGTGTGTGTGTGTGTGTGTGGGTGGGTGTGTGTGTGTTTCATACAGGCCCGTCATGTGGAGGGTGGTAGCGCGGGGCTGATCCCCAGTCAGATGCTGGAGGAGAAGAGGAAAGCGTTTGTCAAGAGAGATGTGGAGCTGGCGCCTGCAGGTAACTGGAACAAAAGAATAATAACAAAAGAAAATATGGTCGATGATCAATGAAAGAATGATTATAAATGAAAAAAATGAAAGAATAAAAGTGGCACATAATGATGACAGGGTGCAGACAGAAGAATAAAGAAAATAAACCTTTTTAATTTTTCATTTCATGCATGAGTAATACATGAAAACACTTTAGAGCTTTAAGTGGGATTTATTTAGTTGACTTGAGAATAGAAGGTTTAGCTGGTAGTACTTACTGTTACTGTAATACCTTCCCAACTGTACATTGTTTGCCATTGTTCCCATCTGTTTACACTGCCACCTGGTGGTGAAATGCCAGGTCTGCAGCTAAATGCCAGGTAAAAAGTTTTAGTTGGTACCCAAAGTATCAATGATCAGAGGAGCTTTAATAAACGCCTAATGAAGAACTGTAAAACAAGTAATATGATGTCTGAAGAGGCTGCAGACGTGAAATATGCAAGAGAGAAGATCAAGATGATAGTAGAGGCTATAGTAGAGGATGACATGAGATGTGAGAGTCATGTTTTTCCAATTCATCTTGCTAATAATAATCACCACTCTTCAGGGGAAAGTTAAATGAGAAGATTGATACTGGGTGGCAGTAACTTCCTGTAGTCTTCACTGGTTGCAGTTATACACTTGTGCGAATTAAACAAGTGAGATAAAACGTGTTAATCAGTGAGCTTTAAAGGTGCTGGTGGCTGTAGTTATTTTGTTTCCTTAGTATTAATGTTCTCATCTCGTCCGTTCTTCTGTTAGTGTATTTCCCAAATGTTGAACTTTTCCTTTAATAATGTTAAACTTTTCCATGAATCTCTGATGTTTCAGTCAGAGACACTTATGTTAAGGAGCTGTCCATTTACAGTAAATGGTTAGTTGGCAGAAAAGGCTCTGCTCTTTAAGGGAGCTCCTAAAATATCTCAGGGTATTAGCAACATGAGGTACCCCTCTATGAATGTGATTGATATGATATCGATATGATAGTCCGCTGATGATTGCGCCAGTAATTAATAATGCAAGTCTGACTTCAGTGCCTGATGCTCCATTTATATGACAGGAAATCTTTGTACTGGTGTTGGTGGGAAGAAGAAGAAGAAAATGATGTATGTGACCACCAAAAATGCAGGTAAGAAAGCTTGTCCCGTAAAACACATTATTATTAGTTTGGCCCTGTAGTTAAGTGATGATAGTGGTTTTCTTTACTATAAAACCTGAAAATGTTGAAACTGATTACATCAAACGTTTTAAGTAACACTAACTCCATTTTGTAAGTTAAAAACATTTTTGATTAAACAGCTTTTACAAGTAATTTTCAGTGACACTGACTTAATTTAGTAATTATTTGTACTGTGAAAACAAAACACCTAATAAAAAGTATTGAATCAGAAAGGTTTCTTTAACTTACAAAATGTAGTTAGTGTTACTTCAATTTTCTAGAAAAAGCTGCTTAAGAGTGTTTATTGCAAAACTTTGTTAGTGTTACTTAAAATATTGATGTATTTTATTTTTTATAGTTAAAAAAACTTCCAAAACGCGTTCCAGTGTTTTAAATCTCTTTCCCCCCTCGCTACTTTCTGTCCTCCTCCTTTTTCTTTGCCTCTCAGAGTTCGATAGACATGAGATATTGCTCTACGAGGAGGTGGCCAAGGTCCCGCCTTTCAAGAGAAAAACTCTGATTTTGATTGGTGCCCAGGGTGTGGGGCGGCGGAGACTGAAGAACAAGCTTTTACTGAGGGATCCGCTTCTCTTTGGCACCACCATTCCATGTATGAAATCTGACATTGTGCATCATATAGCATATAGCAGATTGTGAGCATAAATGATTTAAACAAACTAAGAGCTGCTTAACCCAAAGGGAGAGGGAAATGCCTGTGTGTGCATAAATGACTGGGTTTTTGTGTTTGTCCAGACACCTCCAGGAAGCCCAAAAAAGAAGATCGCGAGAGTCGGATGTACGCTTTCACCAGCCGCAGCAAGATGGAAACCGACATTAAAAACGGGCGCTTTCTTGAACACGGCGAGTACGACGGCAACCTGTACGGAATCAAGATCGACTCCATACATGAGGTTGTGGAGGCTGGACGCATCTGCATACTGGACACCAACCCTCAGGTCCGCACACGTACACACACACACATTAAGAAGCAGCTTAATACCCTGTTTTAGCATGAACACGCCCCTTACACAAATGGCTGCAGGAGCAGTGAGACCAAACAGAAACAGTACCGTTAAACCAAAACATAAGGCTCACTTGGAAAGTGTGGTGATACTTCTTTGTGGGTTCATCAAGTGACCTCTTTCACATTACTCACAGTCATTTTAGGCATTTTTAATATAAGAATATGGCCTACACAAAGAAGAAAGAATGAAGGAAATCTACGACAAATAGGGGTCCCATACGTCCTGGAAAAGCAGCAAACACTTTGTACATTTTCTTTTAATAGACTAATGGGTGAGAATATGTAAATCCTACTTAATTTGAACTCTTACTTATGGGCTGTGGCAATATAAGGTCTACCGGTATGTTATATGACTGTTAGCAAGTTCTGTCCTGTATTGTCAGGAAATCCCCTGAAAAATGTCCTGGAAAGGTCCTGGAAAATGATTTCTTGGGGAACCCTGTGAAGAAACACAGACATCAGTCAGTATCAGTCGTCCTGTCCTCTGTCCTCTGCTACTCTGCCAGCAGCTAAGCTTACATTTGCCAGTTTTTAAGATACATGGCAAACTGAGCTTATCAGTTAGACTACATACAGACAGCTTTGCTTTCAGCTTGTAACAATTCTCTATTAGCCGAACTAGCATGCTGTGCTGCGAACAGAGGAGGTCTGTGTGTATGTGGAGGAGCTCTGCCCCAACAGAGAGCAGTCAGAGAGACCCTGGTTCTGAACCCATCCCTAAAAAAACGATGTTTCTTATTCATTGCATTTCAGACTGTCCTTTGTACATGTACCGTCCTTTGTGAAAATCATAACTTATTTATTATTATATTATTAAGCCATATTGCATTTTTGAGCCTGTAAAGTGTTTTGGTCCTTCATACAGTAAATGAGTTTGAGAAAATATTAGAAACAACATTGTTACACAGACCAATACGGTTGCAAGAATGTGGCATTTACAGATGTTCATATTCTCTCCAGTTTATCTTGAAGCTGTCCAGTTCAACCAGTCTGTGATCCATTCAGTCAGCTGAGTGTCATGTGTCTTGCTCATGGCTTCTAATATCAACTGATGTTCACTGTGACCAGTCTCAATCTCCAGCCAGTTGGTGGACCTAACCCAGCTGTTTAAACTCTCTAAGACACTCTTTCTAATCCACTGTATTTGTGTTCATTCTAGTCTCTCAAAGTGCTGAGGACGTCAGAGTTTTTGCCCTATGTGGTGTTCCTTCAGTCTCCAGACTTCGAGGTGCTCAAGGCGATGAACCACTCAGCCGCAGAGGCAGGGGTGGTTACTAAGACACTGACGGTAAGAAACACTTCCAGTATGTTCATGTAGAGAAAACAAACCTTTCAGGAAGCAGCGTAGACCTCAGTATAAACTGAAAATAGTTGATAGCAGAGGTCCTGGGAGTCTAATAAGAACATGCTAAACCAAGTCACGTGCTTTCCGTCTCAGGATGAAGAGCTGCAGAGGACGTGCGACGAGAGCTCCAAAATCCAGGCGGACTACGGCCACTACTTCGACCTCAGCATCATCAACGACAACCTGGATGAGACCTACCGCACCGTCAAGGCCGCCCTGGAAACGGTTTCTAAAAACCCCCAGTGGGTCCCCGTCACCTGGGTTTTCTAGAAAGAGAACAAAGGCACTGAAATATACTACTGTGTAAATAATGGAAGTTCTTATTGAGAGTTCCAGAGAGATGGAATCTGACAATAGCTGTAGCTTAGCATCAGAAAACTCGTTGCAACCAGCTTTGCATGACAAATTAGAGTGTGTAAATAAGACATCCATTATTTAAACAGGATTATATTTGGGCAGGGAGGTGGGGAAGGAGGGAACAGAAAGAAAAGGAGAGAAGGTGGAAAAGACAAATTAAGTCCTTCATCTCAGACATTCACTGATTTTACCTGGGCACATCAAGGAGTGTGTGTGTGTGTGTGTGTGTGTGTGTGTGTGTGTGTGTGTGTGTGTGTGCATGTGTGCGCGCATGTGTGTGCGTGTGTGTGCTCGCATGTGTGTCCCTGTTTGTGCATGGTTTTTAGAGCCAAGGCTTTTGTATGTTTCTAAATGATTTGTGCCATAACTGATGATCATCAGCAGATTTTGTCATCGTTTACATTTCATGATCAAAGAGGTCAGTACTGATGGTAACACTTAATAACATAATAGCTATAGTAACATTTACTAGCAAATCCTATTTAAACCCTATTTCTTCCGTGCAACTAGCCAAAAATCTTATTTGACTATCACAAGCAACTCTTGAGTTGCTGTGTAAAGCACAATAATGCAGAGGTTTCCTCATGTTAAATCAGTTTTAATTGGAGAATGTTATAGTTAACTTAGTGTTACCTAATATAAATTACGTGTGATCGAGTGCCAATGACAAGCAACCTCAGAGCCAATCTGTCCTCTGTCCGGGTTGTAAGCATAGTCCGCCTTTCATATCTTGCTCTTTATTTACTGTAGTTACACACACACACACATACACACACACTCTGACACTCACTCCAAGAACACAAAAAATGATACAGGCAATGAAAAGACAGAAAGCTGTACAATATGCACATTCATATATGAAATTCACTTGGTTTCTTAGTAGTCAGAGTAAAAAAAAAACGCCTCTAGAAGCTTGGGGGTCCACTGGAGAATTGGTTGTATGTCAGCACTGTCATTTATTTATTCATTCATGGTTTGTTTGATAGTGACAGATACAGTAAACATAGGCTGAAAACAGCAATCCAATGCAAGTACCATAGTGTTAACAATGAATGCTAGTTTACAACACCCAGGAAAACGTATATTTCTGGTTCAGAAAATATTTTATTATTATTTCCTCTAGTCATTGTTTGATTCTGTCGGAATTACTTATATTTGTGCTACTTTATTTTTTAAATGAAAGTGACAGATCATTTTTTGGTTGAACTGATCGCTGTAGAAAAATTCAGCTGTTGATGAAGGCTCATAGCTTTAATTCCGACGTTTCAGTGCAAATCTGATTGACCCTTCCTAAGTCCCACCCCTTATTGCTCTGTGCTCCAATAACATTTGACCAAGCCTTGGACCTCGGTCAACTTTCCTTTGCTCAGATATGATATGTGCTAGGCTAAGCTAAGTTGGAAATACAAGCACATGTTGAATATGATTAAAAGATGAAAGAAACATACATATAGTCACATTTTATGTTAGCAAGCTAATGTTACAAAAACTTCGGAAAACTAGCTAGCTAACTAAGTTAGCGTTTTGCTGCAGAAGATAAGTGACATTTGTGTATATGTATGTGTGTGTATATATATATATATATATATATTATAATCACTTTTAACCATGTTCAAAATATACTTGTCTTTTCAACATAGACGAACCTAGCACATATCTAGTAAAAGAAAGGAGAAAGTTTACATAGGTCCTAACTGTGGCTTGCTCACCTGTTGAGCATACGGTGATGGTACACATACGTTTCATGAATAAACTGTGAATTTAGCAACCAAGCTAGGCTAACAAGCTGGATTAAGAGTTTGCTAAGTTACTCTTAGCAGGCTTGTTAGCTCGGAGTGCTTTATTTTCCCTCTTCAGTAACTTTTGGTGTACCATGGTGAACAAAATACCAGGGGGAGTAAACAGAACAGCAGAGGGAAAACAGGCAATCTCAGAGAACTGCCAAGATAGCTAGTGAGTTAGCGGTTATCTCGCCAGCCACAGCAGTTCACCAGCCAGCCCTGCCAGTGTAGTCACTATGTCAGCAAGCTTTACAAACAAATGTTTTGCAGACATAAAAATTAATTCTGCGGTACCACTTTCTGGTGTGGCCAGGAACATGTATTAAATAATCGAACATTTGCGAGAAGTCAGTCAGTTATCATACAGCAATCAAACAACATGTTGAAACAGAACTACCTATCAGATGTGGCACAGTTGATGCTGACGTGATGTGGCAACTCACAAGCTTAGAATGTCTAAACACAAAATCAGTCAGATTCTGGAGTTGAAAAAGGATCAGTTCCCAGTTGACATTGATCATGAATCATCATCATATGGTTACTCAAAATCTAAAAACCCCCAGTATGGTTTATGGAGGAGGCATTCCATAGTTTGATATATACACATAAACATGCATACATACATTGTACAGAAGCTCTATTTTCTACCGACGTTGTATTTCAAAAGTATTTCTGTTCAACACTCACTATCATTCCTAATTTGCACTTTTTATTTTGTAGTATTTATGATATGATATGTAAACAGTTTGTAGATAGCATGTAGATACACAATGATATAATAGATACTGATTTAGTAGGTATGAGATTCTTGCCTAGTATTTACAGTATGTGACACTTCAGTGATAACTGTCAGAATGTCATCAGTAAAGATATATTTACAGTAGCCCCTGAGTGAACAGCACAACAACAAAAATGTCAGAAACCCAACAAGTTCGAAGAACTTCAAAGTAAGTGTGGAAATATAGAGACAGTTTAAATTTAAAGACGTTTGAGTCCTCTCTTTTTCTTGCTTTTGCTTTTCAAATGTTGTGTTGTGCACTTGAAGGCCACTGTACATGTAACACTGTCCATGGTGCCAACTGCAGAAAGCTCATTGAGCAGCTTGTTTGTACTCAGATCTTTTATTGTGGCAGCTACTGAATACTTTTGATGCACAATGAATTGTTTAGCGATAAATGAGAAACACAGGTGCATTAGAGGAGACGTTTTTAATGGCTGGTTCTTTGTAAAATTACATTTATATTTATGCTCTAGTTTTTAAAAGTGTTGTTTGTGTGGCAGCTATATTAGGATTTCTGGAGTGTTTGGTGTGGAGATACACCACATTTTTCTCTCTCGAGGACATTCCAAAACCTCACTGTGTCCTTTTTCTATGAAATCCCAATGAATGCAATAAAACCATTTTTGTCAACCGTAACTCTAAAGTAATGCGGCTTTACCAATCTCAGTTGGTAAATATTTGTTTTCAAATATTTACCAACTGAAATATTTATGAATTTTCAGTTCATAAAAAAACATGACTGACAATTATCTGTTTGAATAAATGAATCACAAAGTGGCTTGTAGTAGGTTTACTGTACATATGTCCACTGTCTATGTACCATTGAAGGGTTTCATTCCAAAATGCTACACAACAAGAGTATTCAATTTGAGATTTTGTAAAAAGGTTACCTTAAAGGGATACTCCAGTAATCACTTTGACAGCTGGGTTGTTTTCATAGGTTTTAGAGAGGTCCCCACAGAGCAAAAGAAACATACAAATGTTATCACAGGCAGAGTAATACTCCCCATGATCTTGATGTGTCAACCTGTATTTTAAACACAATCCAAACAAAATCTCTACAGTCATGTGGTTCTAAAATGGACAGTGAATCGAGCTTGAACCTTGTAATTTTGTTGTAGGACTGATGATTGTAGAGTCAGACATTGTTCATGCTTCTGTCAGTACTGAATAAATTATTGATTTTGTTTAAGTTGTGATTTTCCTTGGTGTGGTTACAATACACTATATGCAGTGTAGTAGGTGCATGTAGTGTTCTTGGTGTCCCTCAAGGTTGAGTACGTAGCCCACTGCCGTACACTTTGTACACAGCTTAAACTCCATCATCAAGTTTACTGATGACAGTTGTGTTGGCCAGCTCAGATCTATGAAACCATCTTAACAGGGGTGTCACCACCTGATCTGGGAACTGCTCTGCTTAGTAGACCATAGAGCCCTACAGAGAGTGGCGCACATCAGATCTAGACTCGCCACTCTGCAGGACTTCTACACCAAAAGGAGCGCAACCAGAGGAGGAATCATCAGACGGAAACACCTCTGTAGTTCAACACAAGGAGACTCAGAGAAAGCTTATTTCTTCAGGCCGTCAGCATGATGAACTTTGCATATCCGAAAGAAAAGGAAAGACCAGTAGATGGGGACTGAAAATAAGCAATTTGTAATAAATAAAAAAAAATAGGAGTGGAGATGGTATATCAGCAAGTATTTTATTCAATATATATGTAGGTTTATATATTTTATATAATGTTGTAAGGTTCCCAGCTGGCAGTCATGAGGAGTCAAAGGTAAATTTTCACAAAAAAAGGTATAAATAACCATTTTACAAAATATACAATAAAGTTCTGGGCCCATAAAAGAGGTCAACTAAACAGAACTAAACATTAACTGAACAAATTAAAGCAACCAACCTACATTGGGGAACCTTTAAATAGTGGCTGATCAGGCCACTCTGACACACAGGGGGAATAGACTAAAACATACCATTTAAACAAACCATAATAACCTCAAATAATATCCAGATAATGCAGCCAAATATTAACTAAGGAAAATACTGAAATGCTAAACATCAAAAAGCATACTAATCAGAGAAATAACTAAACTCAAACAAGGAGAAACCACTGCCTCTCACATGATGCAGGACAACATGGCGCAGCCCAATTGTAGACCAACCCATTTTCAGCAGTTCTCATTCAACCAGCCCTTCCTTTGACACTCAAGCGACACCTCCAGCAGCAGCACGCAGGAACTGGTAACTCAAAGAATTAATACAATGAAAAATAACCTAAATGAATTAACCTAATAATGCTACCTAAACTGACAAAGGAAGTTATAACTAATTATGTGTAGCCAAAAAAATGACCCGCTGTCAAGAATTGATAATAAAACTGTATTATGAAGCCAAAATCTGTGTCCAATTATTTGTGAATTGTGTTTAATGTTCTAAACCTAAAGATAATCAAACAAATGAAAGAGTTACCTCCATCCGCTTCCCTCAGTGTGTGCCTGCTAGTGCGGCCATCACAAATGTATTAACACAAGAATAGACTCACCACACAACAATACTAAATAGCATCACTTACTGTTCAGAAAAATGGTTTAATACACAAAATATCAATTGAGTACATACTAAAACATTATAAAACATGGGAATTATTTAATGTACTAATAATTAGACTCTTGCTCCAGGAAATATCTAATAAATAGCTTACCAAAAGCCCAAGTTATCAGTCTAACCTTTTTTCACTTTAATATTATGTTATTTGTACTGTAATCCACGGTTTATCATTATATTTCTGTCATTTCCTGGTTGTTAAAAATCAACGATGTGATATTTGGCTGAGGTGCTGGTTCCGCTGGTAGTTAGGGGGCGGTTTTAAAGATGTGTTGCTTCGCATTTTGAATTTGATGCCTGATGAAGTTCTGAACCCAAAATGTGTCAGTGCTGTCGACAGCATGCAGGAATTGAATCTTTTGTTTCACATTCATATTCGTCATACTACTTTTTCTAATGATTATTTTTAAGTATTCTTCTTTATTAGACACTAGCCCTTTCAGCCCTGAGTATTGTGTTGTGTTTTTCTCTGTAATAGCCACCCTCATGGCTTCTGGAAAGTTCAAATGAAACTTAAACTTTTAACACATATATGCACCTCAGCCCATTTACCCAAAAAGCCAAGTATCCCAATCACAGCATCTCAGCTCTGAAAGCATCTTTGTTCACAATCATGCAGTGGAACTACGATGATTTCAGCTTTACAGTGGGATATTTGTAAAAATGTTCATCCTAAGGCAGTTTAGCGATGATGAGCAACAAATTGGTTCTGGGTGTGTCTGAACAGTCAGCTCTCTCTTCTCTGCCAGTCTCATGTCCTTGGCGTGGAGAATACGTTATCTGCTCTGCTCTTTGTGGAGTCAGAATTTCCAAAATGTCATGTGTCGTATTTCCTTTTACTCATCCCATTACTTTTAATAAGCATCCATCCTCCTTTTCCCTCTCTCCACCCCTCATTTCACTCGTCTTCTCTTGCCTTGTTGGAGGATCACTCTTTAGCTTTCTTCTCTTACCCACTTTTCTCTTCATCCTTCTCCATTCTCTTTTTCTGTCAGTGTTTTCATCTACATTCGCTGTTTTCCTTTTTTTCCTCTGCTGTTTGTTACTCTGCTCTCCAGCCTGCTGACAGTGCTGTGTAGTGGCTGCACTATGTGGTGGTGGCTGCTAGGTGTGTTCAGCTGTGTGCTGCTGGTGGTGGTTGTCATCTTCTTCCTGATAACAGGGCAACGCTACAAGGTGTTCAGCGAGAAGTGCCTGAGGCCACCAGGGCCTTTGGTCACCGACAGCAGACAGAGGGATGACAGGCTGAAGAGAGGTAAGAAAGGTTGTTTCTGATAGAATCTTGAATCCTGTGTCTCTTGATGATTGGCAGACACTGTATGCACTATACTGCACCAGAGCTTTGTATTATCTTTCAACATTCAACTAATTGAAGCTGCAGTAGGTAATTTTTATGAAAATAACTTTTCTTTTCATATTGGCTGAAATGTTCAGTGTGTCCAGACAGTACTATATGAGACAGATACTCTGTGAAAAAAATCTGGTTCCTCTGGCTTGTTATAGTACTTCTAATGGCATTTGCAAGAATGGACAAAAACAACCAACCAGAGTCCCAAAGTGTCAGTATTTGACACACTGGGAATGAGACTTAACAATCAACTATCGTCAAGCCTCCAACCCAAAGCCAAGGCTTGCAGAAAGGTGTCATATTCCAGTGTTTCTCAAATGGGTGTACCCATAGGGGTTCTTCGGAGTACTGCAGGGTGTACTTGATTTTGTTCATAGTCAGGTATGCATAACTGAAATAATTATACTCCATAAACACCGTATAATCCATTTTCATTCAGATATCTTGAGGTCGAAGATCAAGGGATTCCTTTGAAAATGGCCATGTCAGTTTCCTTGACATGTTGGTACCAACGGATGCCTTAGGTTATCTAGTTTCATATGGTACCAGTATCTTCACTCTAGCTTTAAAGCAGCGTACTAAAGGCTGTTACATACTCGCCGTTCCCGACCTGTAGCGCGACAATGTGACGTCAAAATGACGTAGATCTCGCTGGCATGCCAGGATTTATGCCAGGTCGCGCACCACAATGCAAAAAAATATATTCAATACGTATGTTTGTTTTTATAAATACTGTTCAGATTTTAGATTTACAGGCTAATATGACCGGGACTGGAGAGTTGAGACTCAATGAAAAACCTCTGTGTTCCAGATGCCAAGAAAGCGTTTCACAAAATGCAATGTGTGCTCCTGTGCAGGGTTCCGTGTGGACCGCATTCCCCCCTCTCTGGATGCGGTGGTGATTGGCAGCGGTGTGGGAGGGTTGACAGCAGCAGCACTTCTGTCCAAAGCCGGGAAGAGGGTTGTAGTTCTGGAGCAACACGATCAGGCTGGAGGCTGCACACACACCTTTCAGAATAAGGGATTTGAGTTTGATGTGGGTAAGAAGTCAAAGTACATGAACAAACGTATACCAGCACACACACGGTTCTCTCCCTGCAGATGGAACCTATCTTTCTTTCTTTCTTTCTTTCTTTTCATCCTTCCAACTGATGAAAGCTCATTACGTGTTCAAATAGAGATTCATATTTGGAATACTAAGCCTAGCCATAGCTTTATATTGTGATTGATGATTAACCTACACACCTTACACTGTAGTATACAGTATGGTGTGACGAACAGTCCAGTCATTCTAATACATTTACATTCATTGTCATTCTATCTGAACATAATGAACCATAGCTGTGGTGACTGCTTTGGAAGACAGTGGCACTCTTTTTTTTTTTTTGTTTAAACAAAGAAAATGCCATAAATATGTGCGCCCTCGACCACCGTGTCCATCAATTTCATGTATTTTTATTTTTTTGTAATGTCAAGGCCAATACTTTTAAAGAAGCTACCCTGTGTCTGTCCGCGCCAATGTCCCTATCTGGAGCAAGTGTTTGGGTTGTCTGTTCTGGGCTGTTCTGTTAATAGTTAAGTCATCAGGCCATGGACAAATTGAGCATAGTGTTAGTTCAGGCAGGGCACGAAGTCAGGCTTAGCTTTCAGTTACAGCTATATCATAGGATCACAGCTAGTCATAAACATACATCAGCTGATTCCTCTAAGCTTCCCATTGGATACCATACACAGTCAGCTGACAGCTCACCTGATTTCCTCAAGCATCCAATTGGCAAACATCATGCATGGCGCCTTATTTAAGCTGCTTTAGCCTGCCTGCCTATCTCTGCTGCTCCCTCTACAAGCCTTTTGCACCCACCTCCACCCCAGCTCCTCCTTTTTATGTTGTTTCTAATTAATCAATGTAATTTTGTGATTGCCATTGATGCTTGCTCTGTTCTGTACCCTGGGGGGTCTCTGCTGCCGCTCTCCTTGTCTTAAACTTTTCCATGTATGCACATGGAAGGGCAGGGAGGTGTGCTCTCCCTGCCTTAAGGTTTTCCATGTAGGCACGCGGAAGGACAAGGAGGTCCCAGAACAGAGCCATACCGCCAAATGTAAATTCTGCTTGGGATATAAGATATTTTGACGAAAGTGGTCCTGACTGAACTGAATGTAACTCACCCGCTACCACTCCACTGTCACCACCAGGTATCCATTACCTGGGCCAGCTTCATGAGAACAGCCTCCTGAGGGTTGCTCTAGATCAGATCACAGATGGAAAGCTGCAGTTCACACGGCTGGAGCAGCACTTTGATACGCTGATACTGGGTCAGGCTGACCAGCGCAGGTAGGGCTTGTTACATTTTATTTTTATTACATTACTTTCTTTTTTCCACTTTCTCTTATGCAGGGAGTTTATTTATTTGCTCTTCATACTATTACCAGGAGTAATCAACTACACAAATCAACAACAAACAAAACCTGACAATGAACTATACTTCCTACTTACTCAAAACTCATCCATATTTTAATATTTTTATATGTCCATACTTTTGTCTCTCTTCAGATGACTATTACTTGGCTTGGCTTCAAACTAATCAAAACAACCTTTCCCACCATCTCTGACTTGCCCTACCTTACTTCTCTGTCATTCTCAGGGAGTATCACATCCATGCAGGGAAGACTGAGATGGCAGCTAGCCTGAAAAAGCAGTTCCCAGGAGAAGAGGAGGCCATTGATGAGTTCATGAGATTGATGAAGGTAGAGAGGGTGGGAGGAAATAATAATGATGGGATGAGAATGGGAAGAAGGGATGAGACAGTAGGCATAGTTTAATACACAAACATGGCTTAAAAAAGAGAACTTTCCTTTGACAAAATGAACATTTGGAGTGCTACAAGGCTCAAGCCTGAGTCCACTACTTTTCTGTCTTTTCACTCTATGTAGCTGTTGCTCCTGATGATCTGACCCCACTTTACTGCCTTGAAAGATGTACTTCAACTGCATCAAGGCAAAAACTTATTATTAGCGGCAATCTTTCTCTTTGTTTGACTCTACAGGTCCATGTACATATTAAATGTTGTTTTCTTTTAGCGTTGGTTGTACCTTAAAATAGAGAAAATGTTTAGCAATAAGTCAATATGGCATTTGTGTCATAAGTGTAGCTTGTTGTACCCCATCGCATTCCCAGGTCGTCAAATACATGTGAGTGATAGTTATAATCTAAAACTTCAACAGTAGATGCCACTAAACCCTGCACACTGGTCCTTTAAGGGAACTCTCTCTCCATGCTGCTGCCACTCCTGTCGACCTCTGTGGCACTGCCGCCGCCTGGTTACATTGCCAACAAGTGAGGCGGAGGTGGCAACCATTTGCTGTCTGAAAGGATCTTAAACTGCATTTCTCATATAAAAGGCGCTGTAAAGTAAAAAGTAAAGTGTATTGATGATTCAAATTAATGACATATATATGTCCTCTTCTTGCAGCTAGCCTCACGGCGGACTCCACTTATCGCCATCTTGAAGATCATACCATATTGGCTGGTTAACTTCTTGGTTCGGACTGGTCTATTAGATCTTATATCTTCAGTGTTCCGCCTAGCAGCAACCAACCATTCAGAAATGATGTCCCGCCTCACACAGAACAAGGACCTGCACGCGCTGTCTGCCTACCTGTTCTATGGTAATGGACACACACACTCACATGCATCATAAACCACACTCATTCTGTATTCACCCTTCAATGCTCTGAATAATGTCATTTTAGGTGTGCCTCCTAAAGAGTCCAGCTTTCTCATCAATGCTCTCCTTCTTCACCACTACAAGCGCGGTGCATACTACCCACGGGGGGGCGCCAGCGAGTTTGCTTTTCACATCATCCCTGTCATTCAGCGGTCAGGCGGTGCCGTGCTGGTCAGGGCTTCTGTGCAACGTGTCCTGCTCAATCAGCAAGGGAAGGCCTACGGTGAGAAAGTGTTGAAATGTTAAACTTCAACAGGAACGTATTCCAACCCCATCTGAGGAACCACTCTACGATTCCCAAAAAAAACAGCACAAACAAAGAACATTTAAACAGATGCTCCAAGCTATATTTCCTTTGCATTAACACTGTGTGTGTATGTGTTTCAGGTGTGACAGTGCTTAAAGGACAAGAAGAGATTGAGGTCCATGCCCCTGTTGTCATTTCCAACGCTGGAATCTTCAACACCTTCCAGAAGTTTCTGCCTCAGCACATACAGGACAAACCAGGTAACAGCAAGTGTTGACTTTGGACTGAAGCTGTGCAACGTTACATTACACTTTTTTCTAATTTGCTTTTTTCCCCTACTGCATGTTTCCTGTAACATGTTTGTTGTGTGTGCAGAGATCCAGTCACTGTTGGGTATGGTGCGTCATGGTATGGGTTCCTTCTTGGTCTTTGTTGGTCTGGATGGAACCAAAGAGGAGCTGGGCATTGTTTCCACCAACTTCTGGATGTATAAAGACAATGACTTGGACTCACTGTAGGTTTTTTATATATTTTTTTCTATGTCTCAAATTCAATGTCTGTTTAACAACACATCCAAGTTAACACACCCCATTTTATTGCATTTAGTATGTTATAGATTTAGCAGCTGATGTTCTCCTCAATAAGCTTGTGTTTGTGTCTATGTGTTTGTACAAACGACTGTGTGTGAAGTATGGAGCAGTACTCTTCTCTGAGCAGAGAACAGGTATTGGGCAACATTCCCATGATGTTCATCACCTTTCCATCCGCCAAAGATCCTACAGCCAACATCAGACACCCAGGTAACTGTGTACTTGCCATCATATCTGATACCACCTTCCCTTTGCCATTTCTGATTTCCCTCTACTCCTCCTTGACTACTCTTTTCTGGTAGATATGCAATGATGTGAATCCCAGGTTTTTGGATGGGATGTTACATTCACTTAAATATGCTATATACAACATTTAGAACCACTGTAGCACTGGATCACCAGAATCTCACACCAATACAAATGGAAACATTGGCCACATCCCCCTCCTCCTTTTGTCATTCTCTGCTCAGGATGCTGCCACTCCATTATATTTACATAGTAAATAGTTGTTTGCAGCTATATTAATGTTAAAAATCTCATATATATAACTTTTAAGTCTAGGTGAAACAGAAATCAGAGTGCTATCTGCTTTTTCATATTTACATAGTAAATGGCACAACCAGACCAGGAATAAATACAGCATTTGATGCCGACTGAGGACAGTTTGATGATAAGTACCAAGGTGTTTTTTGCCGGGTTTAGCTCCTGGGGCCCTGGACGTTACCTGCTCAAGATTACTAACAGCATCTAACATTAAAAAATACAAAGAAATTGGGCATCTGGCATACATTGTTAAATAGACTCCATTGATGTAGACGGGTTCCTTCAAGAGGATAATAATTTTAATGAAGTTCCCCTTATGTATCTTTCTGCAGGTAAGTCCTGTATGACGCTGCTAACCATGGCTCGCTATGAGTGGTTCGAGGAATGGGAGGGGACAAAGCTTGGCAAGAGGGGACAGGACTACCTGGATCTGAAAAACGGCATGGCGCAAGAGCTGCTCGACTGGGCACTAACGATCTTCCCTCAATTACGAGATAAGGTGTGTGTCAATGTTTGTACAAGAGAACACCAGCGTAGGCCTGGCCTCCAACCAGTGTGGTCTCAGGTAACATACAGATCTATTAGATATGGCTGCACAACAGAGTCTAGTATTTCCAGGAGAATGAGATTTCAGTGTTCAATTTCTGCGAGTGAGAGTGAGTTGATCAATTCAATAATGTCATATCCATATGTAAACACATCGTTCTGTAGTCTAACGTAATCGTCGTTACTGTCCTCCTACCTGCTAATTAGGCAGACGACCACCCACCTAGAACCGAAGGATCTGTCCTAGGTTTCTGCCTCTTAAAAGGCAGTTTTTCCTTGCCCCCGTCGCCAAGGTCTTGCTCATGGTGGTACTGTTGGGTCTCTGTAAATAATGTTATAAAGAGTTCGGTCTAGACCTGCTCTATTTGAAAAGTATCCTGAGATAACTTATGTTATGAATTGCCGCTATACAAATAAAATTGAATTGAATTAATTACACTTGAGTATGGAGATTAGTTTGTGACCTTTGTGAACACATAACTGTGGTAACATCTTCAAAACATGTGTGTGTTCAGGTGGTTATGGTGGATGCAGCTACTCCTCTAACTAATGTCCACTATTTGGGCGCTCCAAGAGGTGAGATGTACGGCGCTGAACACAACTTGGAACGCTTTACCCCAGAAACGGTTGCTAGGACACGACCACAGACACCCATCAGCGGACTCTACCTAACAGGTGACCTGACTGACAGGCAGTCTCATCTGGTGTGGTCTTCTACAGACACTGACACACCTGCTTAATGTTTCTGTGTGTGTGTGTGTGTGTGTGTGTGTGTGTGTGTGTGTGTGTGTCTGTGTCTGTGTGTGCAGGTCAGGACGTATTCTGTAACGGCATGGCTGGGGCGCTGCATGGCGGACTGCTCTGCGCCTCTGCTGTCCTTAATCAAATCCTCTACATTGACCTTCTCACCCTGAAGACCCGCCTCAAACACAGGCAGACCAATCATAAGCTGACCTAGCTTTCACACATACTTTACACCTGATCAAACTGGGCTCTCTCGCACAGTTTGGGTTGTTTTGTTCTCCGTTGGGATCTCATGTGAGTCCCATTGTATACTGTTAATACTGTATAAGCAGCAACCCACCACCGAAAAATGCAGTTTTTATACATCTTCATCTTCATCTCATCATATTTTGGTCAAGAAAACTAAATGAAATTATTTTTAAAGTTTACATTTTTACTTAATATCTAAACTTTGAAATATAATTAATATGAAATATCCAGAAAATATGTCATTCTGTCAGGGGTCATCAGTTTACTCAATGATAGCTGGGAACCACTGCTGTAGACCATGCTGAGGAAAAACAATTTCAGCAAGCCTGATGATCCTGTCTGCCCCGGCACATGTGTGCGTCCCCACCAGACACCACCATGGATAATTCATTTCAGGTGTTCTGCTTCTACAGGAGAACACAGGTAGAGGGAGACAGAGAGCACCTGAGGAAGAGAACTCAAAACAAAACTGCACCTGCACCTGCATGCCAACATGTAACATTAACTCTGTGTTCAAGTGCTGCTTCATGCCCTGTGAAGAGTTTAAGAAGGAAGTCAATATATATTTTCAGACAGTTGGGAGGGTTAGAGAGAAGACAGACACGAGGGGGGAACTGCAAGAGTGGAGAAATGTGGAGAGAGTAAATTAAGCGCAACTGATTCGAGATTTACAGAAAACGATGGAGGAGGAAAAGAGAGAGAGACTGATTCGGTCTAGAGACGGGATGGAGAAACATGAATGAATTGTGAGAAAGCAGAAAACTGGTAAGGTCTAGCTTGTACTTAAATGTACAACAACAGGATTCACCTGTCACAAAATGATTGACTTGACATGCATGCCGCTGCAGACTGTTAAACGAAGCTGCATTCTTTTCTATAGTCTGTGAGCCAAAATCAACATAAGAGTAATCAGCCTTCAATCTAGCTACTCCTGTTGACTTTTAAATACACGGTTGTGTCTGCTGTCTACACGTTATAAAATGGTGAGAACAGGTCTGGTCAGGTTGCTTCTGTGTTTCTGCTGCATCTGTAACTTTTAACCTAGACCTGTGAAATAAAGTAGTTAACATGGCTGCTAATGCAGTGATCAAACACAGGAACAAATCATGGACTGATGGTACATCTCATGTTTGAATATAAATAAAAGTAATGAGATGAATAGACTAAGTTTTTATTTCTGACTATGGCTACGTTCACACTGCTAGCCTTGGATCAAATTGCTTTTGGTTGCCTGTTCACAAACTCAACAATGATTTTGTTTGAGGAAGATACTTATTGCTGGACTCAATCAAGACCAACTAGAATAATTGGTGAGACCAATGGCTAAGTCTAAAATGAGTCTGAGTGCAAATACCAATTAGTCTAAGACCAGTCTAAGAAAATGTCTGGTCGGGAGAAGAACGAAAAAACATTTTCCATCGAGAAAAAAGCCTTCAGTTCCATTCTTTGATATTCTTTTAAAGGAAGTTCTGATATAACTGATGCTAGCAGCACCTATGATAACCTAAAGAACACCACTGTTTCTGCTGTATGCCACAGTATGATAAAATCACTAATAAGTCAGTAACCTGTGGGTTTTTGCATTCTGCGCTCAATTCTTTGAATTTTATCATATTGTCACTCTTTCTGACAGAGCTGCAACCACAGCTATTGCCTCAGTCTTGTTTTGTAATTGAAGTGAGCTGAGCCAATAAAGAACAAGCATTGGCACATTCATTATTTTCATTTGGAATTCCTCCAACTGCAAAAATCTTCTCCACCACATGAGCCTACCACATACCATTCATGCACAAGCTGTGGCATCTGGGTTCAAATCTAGAGTGGTGGCATAACAACAAACCAGAAAGGCGAGACATTACCGTAATCATGCACACTCACTTCCTTAAACACAAGAGGTCATTGATTCACTGAACTTTCACTTTCTGCTGTTCCTCATCAATCAACCACTTATAATTATTATTTCCTTGATGATTAATTAGAAGGTATCCAAACTGGGAATATTTGTATTATTTTTACATATTTATATGTACATCTATATTCCACCATCTTGGATATAATGTTTGGTTATGTGAAGTTAACAAAGCCTTAATGAAAATAATCTAATCTGAAGACTTGTTACATAAAGTGGAAACATGCGTAACAGTTCTAGTCTTTTCATATCCTAATTATATCCTTGTCATTGTTGCTAAATTCCCCACCATGCCAATAATTTATTATTATTATATATATGTTATACATAATAAGAACTGTGGTTGTATAATGTTAATACCAATCATATCTAGGGGTTACACTGAAATAAGACTATAGGAATGTGACACCAGCAGCTGTGCTGGTAATGACTCCAAAGACATGTTTGGTTCAACGTTACTTTAAATGAAAATGGACTTGCATTGACCTAAAACTAAATATAGGGAGTGGACCTTTACTATTGTCCTCATTTGTTAATAATAAATGAACACCACTGCTCATTTAAATTACAACAGAAGCAATGGAAATATTTGAATATTGATTTAATTAGCCATTTTTGCCCAGCCAAGTTAAACCATCCACCCATACATGACAACGAACAATTGATGCTGATTACCTACAGTCAAACAGCAATATGCCCATAAACACACACACATAGACACAGGCTGCTTTTATAGATGTATTGAGAGTTTGAGATTTTTCACTGAACTAAAGATCAAAGCCTCGTACTAAACCAGGACAGGTATGCATATTTGCCAGGAAGCCATCAAAGCTCTTATACCCCTGGTTAAGTCATTTCTACAACAGTTTCAACAATACAGAATCAGTAGAAAAATACAGAAAGGCATAGGCAGATGTCTCTGTCATATACGTTCATGATTTTAACAGAATCCTATAACAACTTTAGTCCCTCTGAAATTGATAATCTTGTCGATAGTGCTGCAGGCTCACTACGAAGAACATTAGACTCTATCGCTCCTATAAAAAGGAAATTATTAAAACATAGGAAAATCTCTCTTTATTATCAGGATATGTACCACAGTCCTTTAAAGTTGCTGTAATTAAACCCTTTCTTAAAAAGCGCAGAGACAGCTCTGGTTAAAGTTAATAATGACCTTCTGATTGCTTCTGACAATGGACTTGTCTCTGTACTTGTATTATTAGATCTTAGTGCTGCATTTGACACCATTGACCATAATATTCTTTTACAGAGACTTGAGCATCAAATTGGCATTAAAGGAACCGCACTAAGCTGGTTTAAGTCATATTTATCAGATCGTTCGCAGTTTGTACATGTTAACGATGAATCTTCAATAAATACTACAGTTAGTCATGGAGTTCCACAAGGTTCTGTACTTGGACCAATATTATTTACTTTATGTATGCTCCCTTTAGGCAACATTATTAGGAATCACTCCATTAACTTTCACTGTTATGCAGATGATACGCAGTTATATCTATCTATCAAGCCCGATGAAATTAATCAATTATCTAAATTACAAACATGTCTTAAGGACATAAAATCCTGGATGAGCTGCAATTTTCTGATGTTAAACTCGAAACTCGAAATTCTTGTTCTTGGCCCCAAAAACCTTAGAGACTCACTGTCTAAAGATATAGTTACTCTAGATGGCAAGGCCAAGGTACCTCTAGCACCACTGTCAGGAATCGTGGAGTTATCTTTGATTAGGATTTGTCTTTTAACTCCCACATGAAGCAGACCTCTAGGACTGCCTTCTTTCATTTACGTAATATTACAAAAATTAGACACATACTATCACAGACAGATGCAGAAAAACTAATCCATGCATTTGTTACTTCAAGGCTGGATTACTGCAACTCTTTATTATCAGGTTGCCCCAATAAGTCCATTAAAACGCTTCAATTAATTCAGAACGCTGCAGCACGAGTACTGACAAGAACTAGAAAAAAATCACATCTCTCCTGTACTAGCTTCTCTGCACTGGCTCCCTGTAAAATGTAGAATAGAATTTAAAATCCTCCTCCTCACCTATAAAGCTCTTCATGGTCAGGCCCCTTCATATCTTAAAGAGCTCATAGTACCCTATTACCCCTCTAGAACACTACGTTATCTGAATGCTGGGCTACTTGTGGTTCCTATAGTCTCTAAAAGTAGAACAGGAGCCAGAGCCTTCAGTTACCAAGCTCCTCTCCTGCTTCCAGTTGTGGTTCGGGAGGCAGACACCCTCACCACATTCAAGAGTAGGCTTAAGACATTCCTCTTTGATAAAGCTTATAGTTAGGGCTGGATCAGGTGAGCCCTGAACCATCCCTTAGTTATGCTGCTATAGGCCTAGACTATCGGGGGATTTCCCATGGTGCACTGAGCTCCTCTCTTCCTCTCTCTTTCTGCACTCATTCATGTCCCATTAATGCATGTTACTAACTTCACTTCTTCCCCGGAGTTCTTGTGCTTTCTCGTCTTGCAGGTTCTTATCGATCCTGGTGGAGCCTCCTGCCATGGTCCTGATGTATTGCCATTGCCAATACTGTTGTTGCTGTAGTGCTTGCTCATGGTGGTACTGTTGGGTCTCTGTAATTAATGTTTTAAAGAGTTCGGTCTAGACCTGCTCTATTTGAAAAGTGTCCTGAGATAACTTCTGTTATGAATTGGCGCTATACAAATAAAATTGAATTGAAATTGAATTGAATTGAATTGATTGTAGGGAAAGCCAGCAGTAAAGATTTATCATTGTGTGAACTTTGATGAACACATTCCATTCGCTACTACTAAGCATAAAATCACCAACAAAAAAGAAAGCTCTCTCAGTTTTCTCTCACTTGCACCTTCATGACAGGTGTGTAGCAGTTGGACATCGTGGCCATGATGGTAACAGTTTCACTTTTGTGAGTGAGACTGGGGCCCTTTGCTTTGCCTCTGACAAACATTGTGTTTGTATTTTTAGACATCTCTCGAAAAAGATCACGATTGCACTCTGTGCTGATGCCAAAGACTCCCAGCGCATATTGGTTGGACTTCCGGTTCAGGTCAAACGGCACCTTGTACATGATAGCTATTTTCTCACTGGACTTTTCGGTGGAGTTGTTGAGAAGATCCTAAGTGAAGATGCCAACAGTGTGAACCCTACAAATAGAAATGTATCTATGAGGACACATTTTCAAACTGAAAATAGAAAAGACAATATTCTTTTTAATGAGCAGTTACTTGGGGTTACACAGAATGTAGTTGGAACACTCATTCGTAATGTGAACTTTGCACTGGCGATGTGTTGGCAGTGCGTTCACAATGTCTTTACTCATATTTCACCCTATTTCAGCAACATCAGCTGCCATTTCTACACAGTCCACTGGTTCCATCTCTGCAGTGTGCCTGCTCAGACAAAAAGCACAGAACAGTCCTTTGATAAAATTTGAAAACAGGCTTAAAATGAGCATGCATTGTAAGAAGCATTATTTGTAATGAGAAGCTCATTTTAAGATCAATTTGTGGACCTACCTGGGTTCTAATCTGGGATGAACAGCGCTGAGGGACAGCTGGAAGCTCTGGCTGTCAGGGTTTAATGTTCCCTACTTACATAGCTGATGGGGGCAAAACCTGTTTTTACTTCCAAACAGATGGATATCAGTTTACCAACAATAAAACATTACTCTCATTCCTTTCAATCCATGCAACACTGCATGCAAACACATTGTTGAGCATATACCATGCATATCCTTGACTTTAGTGATGACAATATTATAATATATTATTTAAACACCAACACAACAAATTTTTTTTTTTAAGTATAATGCTGCCAATTGGATTTATTATTCTAGTTAACTTTTATGAGTTAAGAAGTTAACTGTTAAGTTACGTATGTAAATTAAGTAATAGTTGACTCCTAGGTGAAAGATCTGTTTGACCCATTCATCATTTACCCTTTATGGCCTACAGTAACATAACAACAACATATAGGTTTACAAGCCTTAATGCTTATTTAAAGGACATGTGTTTAAGACTTAGTGGCATGTAGCAGAGTTGTATTTTCTCGCAAACAGCACAAAAGGCCACAATGGCTGCGCTCCACTCAGCCAGTTCCAGGGTCTTAGCATTGTTCATGCCAGCTCACTGGAAAAGCTACTGTTATTTGCTATATTTTGCTATTGCTATACTGAGCCATCATTAAAGGAGTCTGCCTCTGTTTCTCCAGCAGCCCAAGACTAAACCCCAAGGAACAGTCAATTTGAAGCCAACTTGACATAGTGGGCAATTGCCTGGGTCTAATTACAGCAATGGCTGAATTATATTTTCTGTAAAATGATGGATACATTTTTATGAATGTCACAACCCCTGCAAAATGACTTGTTTCACAATCATAATTGGATCCATTTTGAAAACACTAGAAGAACCACAAGATTGAATCATTTATTCTCCATTAAAGTTAGTGGAGGGCTAAAATGTATGCCCCACTGAGCAGCTTCCATAAGAATGAACCAACGTTTTTCTTGAGTTTCGCAGCCACCGTCGTTTCTCCCACTTTGTAAGGCACCTTTAGTTTAGTACAAATTTTCATATATGTTGGTCACAACGCTACGTCAGTGACAAAGTATTTTAAAAGTCTTGTTTTCTACAATATCTGCTTATTACAGTATGGGTGTGGTTATGAAAAGGTAATGGTTACGGCAAATAAACTTTGGCTTTGGGTTAGACAACTGAAACACTTGGTTATGCAGCTGTAGTTGTGGGTAAATGCACATAAAGCAGTCCACCTACCCTTCAAAACATTTAGGCTTTATGACCTATACCGCCGTCAGCCACCAGGGGGCGATTGAGATGTTTCGACTTCACATTTGGAGAGCTGTCATATCGTCCACCTTTATGTATGTCGATGGTTTTATACACACCACAACCATACCACAATAATAAAAAGAAAATTAAAAACAGACACATTTTACTAACTAACAGACAAATTAAGTCACCAACAAATTCTACAAAAATAAAGCTGTATAGAGATGGAAAGACAGGGATGGTGTTGTATATTAAGTAGCAATGATGTGAAGATGTATTGAAGAGAAGTCCGCTGACACCGTCTTGATTGTATATAAAGGTTTATTACAAAAAAGTCCAGCATCATTTCAAGCCCCAGGAGCTTGGATTGCATCCTGCCAAATGAACAGCTCTGTCGATATGCTTCAGACATAGGTTTTTATAGGTGGTTGTTCTTCAAGAAGAAGAACTACTGACACTACATATGTTGACAAAATATAATTTGAATTTATAACCCCTTTAGACACCACAATGGAAAAAATATTTCACTCAAGAAAACACACTCTTAATTAGTTTTTCCAAAATGTACTTAAAAGTAGATCAGTTAAGATGTACTATTGAATATGGTTTATCATGACTTTTGTTTTGTTTTTTACTTTGAGAGTAAACTTTACTTCCAGCCCTGATGAGCCATTATTAACTCTTTTCAGTTTTCGCTCACTTGCACCATCATGATGGGTTGGAAGGAGTCTGACATTGTTGCCCTGATGGTTACGTGATGACCCTTATAAATTAGACTGGGGCCATTTGCTTTACCTCTGACAAAGGTTTTGTCATTCTCATAATACATCTTACAATAAAGATCATAATCACACTTTTTGTAGTTGGGAAATATTCCCAGTGCGTACCAGTTGGAGTACAGGTTGAAATCATAGGGCACAGAGTACATGACAGCTATTTTCTCACTGATGTTCTTTGTGCGTGTGTTGAGGAGATCAAAAGTGAAGACGCCAACAGCTCCTCGAGCTGCTCCTTCCGTCTTGGTGAACAATCCATTCCCAGATGCGCCAGAGGCAATAGTCGGTGGCAAACATCAACTTCCACTTGTAGCGTGGACACTGTTCATAGGGGCAATAAAAAAATCCTTGATGATTTGAGGACATTTGAGTATGATTTATTTCAGTTAGTAGTTACCTGACGTTAGACAGAGTGTAGGTACTGCATCCATTCGTAATCTCAACTTTGCACTGGCGATGTGTTGGAATCAGCGGAGCAACCGAACCAACAGCTCCGACCGCAGCGAAGGCCATGATAGCAGACCTGTTCAGACACAAAGCTGAAATGCAAATTGTTTTACCTCTCAGCTCTCATAGAATGGACATGAACAGGAGGCAAATATACGCCAGTGTTGAATGTCTATAAAACTCCTCACATATCAAATGTTAATACATATGTATTTAAATGAAAAATAGACGCCTTTTGTTGTGGAAACTGAAAACTCAGTTCTTCTAATGCAGGTGAGAGTTGGCAGTTAAATGCCAGGCAGTGTTGATAATCCATTTGTCGACACAGCTCAAAACACATTAACAAAAACAGGATCATTCAGGGAAGAACAGGTTTATCTGGAAATGTCCCTCGTACATACGTATACATCACAATATATAAAAAGATATGTACAATAATTACAACTCTAAAGAAGATTCTTTTAGATCTGCATATTCATTATTTCTTTATGAGTACCCAAGGGTAAAGGTGTTGTACAGACAGGAGATTCAGCAGTCCAGAGTTGAAAACAAGATGCATTCACTGTGGACATAAGGCAAGCAGCCATTCATTAAACAGTAAATACCTAAATCTGAAGACAACTGTTGTACTTTAAATTCAAAGATAATCTTTTTAATTCATTTCAAATTAGCAAATAAAACTCCTTTGGGTTGAATGACCCACATATCACACAAACACCAACAGAGATTAAACTTCCAATGAAATGGAAAAATAAAATGTGCTTTTTACCTAAAAAGTATGCAATTTGGTTCTAATTATGTGTCAAATATTAGACACTGTTTGAAAAAAGTTAACTAGATATCTACCAAATAACAATTTTAGTGTAACCTCAATAGCTTTTTAGTCATCTGAGCATGCATAAATGTGAAATCTGTCAACAGGCAAGCATATGATTAAACAAATGGAGAATAAAGTTTCTAATACTAAAGTAGTAATACTTAATACTTAATAGAAAATTGGTTGTTTTTTTTAAATTCATGGTTTCCATATCATTAGTACCAAATGACATGGTTCTATCCAGGACAGGTCTTTAAAATGATTAGGAAATGATTCAGCAATGATAGACCCATTTAATAAATGTTCATCAACAGTAAAGCAATCCAGATCATTTGAAATTTCAAAGCAGCTTGCTTAGGTTTTGGTAAGAAACATGATGCTGTGATAAGAAGCTCATGGTACAGAGTCATGAACTCAGACCTACCTGGTTGTTTTTCCCTGGTATGAACACCTGTGAGGGACAGCTGAAAGTTCTCACTGTCAGCCTTGGTTGGCTTCTTATACTGGTTATGGAGGGAATCACTTGTAGAAACAAACATTTCGTTCATACTTTACATACTGTACTCTGTTCTGCTCTGCTGTTCTGCAGTGAAACCTGGTAGAGCGCTGCAATAGCTTCAGTGTGTCGGCTGTATGTGTGTGACAACAACAAGCCAAGATTTTATGCATATTCTGTTGTGGTGTATTCTTTACACTATGACAGTTTTGTTCAAATTAGATTTTTTTGTTTGTTTACAGTTATTGTAACCCCTGTATCATGAGATGAATCATATCTCCAGATTCGTGCAAATATACAGCCCTAAGGCCTATGCTCTTCTGTCTCATCAGGCATAGTTTTGCTGGCCATCAGGAGCACCGGGACAAATCCTGGTGGGACACTCAATTAATTATACAAAAGAAAGAGTGAGAGAGATGTGTCATCATCGTTGCAAAGTCACTTGCAAAACAGCTGCCGGTAAGGCATTGAAAGCCATAGTTTGTGCAGGACATTGCAAAGAGAAACTCAGAGTCCCCTCAGTAGCAGAGATTACCCTCACGCCAGGAAAAAAAACACTTTCACACTTTTATTTTTCTTGAATATAAAGGTTATGGAGGACAGAAAGAGAACAGACATACTGTAAAAATAATAAAATGCTATTTTTATGGTAAAAATCTGTGGTTTACCATAATAAATAAAGTTTATTATGGTAATTACAATAAGGATATTAGTACCGTTAAGTTTTAATCCATATTTTACTTATATTTTATTTTAAGTTTTTATTATCAAAAGAAACAGCTTTGTTATATAAATTTAATCTGTGCAATTACAGTCTGTAATATAAAAAAAACTATTTTATTCCATAAGAATTCCTTTAAAATGCTGTATAAATAAAGTTTTTACCATGAGATATCACAATGTTTTACTGTTACAGAAATGTCCCCCTTTTTCGAGTTTACTGTCTTATGTCACTCTTCCTTTAAGGCGTTGTGAAGCATACTGTCTCTTTAACCATATAAATACTAATAACAAAAGTTGCAAAAATGCATAAATAGGTTTTACAACAGTGAAAAAGAAAGCGAGCTGACAATGCACAACCACTGTGACTTCGTTATTCACATTTTCTCATTTGAAAGCAGAGTGCCATTTGCTTCTGCATGTTCCCTGTAACAACAGGCAGCTAGGGAGGGACTTGGTGGTTACACTAACCAATAATGCTGAGTGTGCATTACGCCCCTCACTGCTATGCATGCACGCATGATCTAGTGTTAGTGTCTACCCTCTAGTGAACACAGCCACACCCGGGACCAAACACAATCACAGAGACCGGACTGCAGCTGCTGCCACTGTACAGTCACATATACAGGCCATTAGTACAACAGGATGTGTGACTTGGTAATATATGTAGATTATGCAACATATCTTGTAAACCTAGGTTGCTCTACTTTTTTGAGGTACTTTTATTGAGTATTAATCTGTCGTATAGCATTTAGTATGATATCAATAAATAGACTGAACTGGAATCCCCTACACTACTTGTTAGGGGGAAATATATATATATACAATAATGCCCTACTAATCAGGCACAATAATTAGACACACAGTTTTATTTAGATTATATGATATCAAAACATAATAAGTAACCTTAGGACATGTTTTATATATAGGTCAAGACTGTACTCATTATTAAATAAATAAAAAAATAGAAACAGATTAAATGAACACAAACAATCTCACATTAGGCTGATGATATAGCTTTTCCATCATTTTGGCAGTGACCAAATTACAAATAATTATATCATATAATAATACAATAGAGGGGTCATCACAATATCTAAATCAGACTGTCTTCAACCTAATTTACTCTATTGCAAGAAATTGTCCCGATAGATCGTGATACTGCTGCCTGTAAGACCCGTGGGGAGATCCTGAAGGCTGTACAGATAAATTGCTTAACGTCATGTGTGAAATCTTTATAATAAAATATAAATTCTATATTCTTTTTGTATGGCAGCAACTGTAAACATCCTGTTCTGTCTGATTCAATGATGCAATTTTCTCTTTCCAGAAATATTACAATTTGAGAATGACTTCCACAAAAGGACTGACTTTGCAAATTTATTGACATTTTGACACAATGTTCAAAACAATGCCTGTGTTACCATGAGTTATGTTTTTTACCATCTTCTGCTCTACAATAGTTACTATATATTACAGTTTCAATGACACAGAAGCAATGAAATGCTATAAGGCAAAATAGACATATAAATCCATTCTTGCCATCAGCCACTGGGTGACAGCAGGAGACATTTCAGCACTGCTCTAATTTCAGTTGTCTTTGACCTCCACCTGCAGGACAGGTTGGAAAGTGTCAGTCATCATTGCTGTGATGGTGACATTATCTTTCTTGTACTCAATATTTTGGCCCGCTTTTTTCCTGTCAAATGTGCCTGTGTTGTTGTACATCCGATAATAAAGATCACGATCACATAACACACTCTTATCAAAGATTCCCACTGCAAACCAGTTGGAGTACAGGTTGTAATCATAGGGCACAGAGAACATGACAGCTATCTTCTCAGTGGATGCATTTGTAGATTGGTTGAGGAGGTTGTAAGTGAAGACGCCAACAGCTCCTCGAGCCGTGTTGGGAGTCTTGGTGAACAGAGCATTCCCAGTTTTAGATGGGTCAATGGTAAGCGGCAAAGGTTCAGTGCAGGAGCCACTGTCACTGTGTAAACTAGAAACAGTATTGAGAATTATAAGTAAATGCAGAGTAAAGTTACTTTGATGAAAGAGATAAAATAAATTGGACTCACCTGAGGTTACACAGAGAGTAGTTAGAGCATTTATTTGTCATCAGAACGGAGCATTGGCGATGTGTTGGAATAAGTCCAGCAACTTCAGTACCGACTGTCAGCGCTGCATCAACAGCAAGGTTGCTAGCCATAGCTGTGCGACAGGACCACCTGTTCAGACAGACAGGGCCAAAAAACGTTATGATAATAGTTCTGTTGTTCTTTTCACAGGCAGGTTTTCCACAGAAACAACGGAGGAGAGAGAAGGAGCTGTCCTGTCAGTATTTATCCATGCTTACCTGGGACGAACGCTCCTGAAGGACGGCTGCGAGCTCTGGCAGTAAGGCTTTTAGGCAGTCTCCTTATAAAGGTGATAGAGATGGAATAGAACAGTGATGGGCTGCACCTGTTTGTGTAGGACCCTCCTTCCAAACATACTATCACCCACACACACAAATGGAAATGGAAATGAATCTAATGAACGTGTTATTGAACACGTATGCAGGTCAACCTGAGAACCAAGTTGCTGTGGGAACATTAAATCACACTGATGTGTCAGCCTTTTAACAAAAAGAAAGCAAAACTGTAATGTGGATGTGTGGCTGTTGTAAGTCTGAGTGTTTACTAGGACATTGTTGCTATTAAAATGACCAACATTATAACAAGAGGCAGGGTGATTGCCATGGACGTTGCAGACAAGATTGGCTGATTACAGGTGTCTTCCATCATAAATATTGTATACTTCATCTGACTGACCCTAGGCTTCATGTATGCCCCCACACTTTAGTAATGACCACTTTCATTTATTTTGATGCTTTTATTCAAACTTTACGCATGTTACAGGCCATGATAGTTACAGGCACATATCGCTTTCTCAGTCATATCCAGGCCCCAGCAGCTCCCCAAACCCACCAGGTTCGTCTTAAGAGACATCCAAACTAGCCTCACCTGCCACAAAATGCCATTTGATCACACATTCAATTCAGTTTTTCACAGGGATTGGTTTCATTTGTATTCGATCACAGCTTCTTAGAAGGACTGCTATTTCTGCCATGCATTTCTATTTTCCCACATCTTCATCATCATGGATTAAGCGTGAACTTAGGCTACTATTGATGTATGATTTGTACATGACTGTCATCACTAAATCACTTTAAAAAAGATACTGATATTTTTTGCCTTTACCAGCACAATATCATTTACTTCAGATCAGTAGAAAAAGTGAGCTCACTGCTGAGATCTTTTAATCAGTTATCTTCCTTCTTGCCTAGTTTTCACAGATCTTCAGCTGCAGTGGAAATGCAACAGGGCTGTGCAAAAGTGATCTTTTAGTTTCCACTTTGGTTCCTGAGTTTATTTCCTGTGGTTGTATAGTTCCTGTAACTGACACACACACACTTTTCACACACTTTATAGAACAGTGCAGTTGTGGTGTAAAACTGAGTAGCTGCATAGTGACCTTCAACGTGTGAAAAACAATAACCAGCGTTCGGCAATGCTGCACGTTCAGCACTAATAAAAGCACAGTGAGCTGACCACAGTTGCCATACATGAACAATTTACTTCCTTTTTGATCGTAAGTTCAAATACAGCAATTAATGCTCGCCTTCTTAAATGAACTACCCACACGCTGTGCCCCTAAAGTAAAGGCATTTTGAGTATTTCCTTATTAAACTTTTTGACGCAGCAAATAAACAAACTCATGTGTCCCAGTGTCTGTCACCATGCTGGACATCAACAGTAGATTTCTCCCACACTCACAAATATATTTGTTATATTGTAACCAGAAACGGTACTAAAAGGTAACGTCTTTAGCATCTTTGGTGTAACATAGTGACAGGGGTAGTTTTGTTACTTTAGTCAGTGTGTAGATAAGCTCAGGTTGCAGTATAATTGTTACTGTGTGTTGTGTTTGCCACAGAAAAGAGAAGTGTCTTTTTATGTAACGTTACTTCAGCTTCTTCTTGTACTCTTCACAGCAAACTGTGAAAAGCTAACACTAGCTAGTGTATGAGTCAGGCTAAAGACTAATAAAACTCTGTGGGGTTTTTGTTTTTTTAAATCACAAGGTAACACACAGGTGCAGCTGAGGCTGTGCTAACCAGAGATGGAGGAAGTATTTAGGTCCAAAGTACTCATACCGACCCCACGTTGAAAATATCCCACTAGAAATAATGCATTCTAATTCTATAATCCCTGTTAATGTTTTACTATTATATATGATGTTTATGGATTAATGTTACTGTCGCATTCATGTTGCATTTTACTCCTGTATTCAGGTTGTGCTCATTTTTTATAAACTGTATATACTGTTTTGGTATATGTAGTTTTATAGTTTTTTATATAGTTTTGGCTTCGGTGCCCCACATTTTGAATTCATCAAGTGGCCTAAAAATGACTTCATTCCAGGCCTGTAACAAGGTAACCAGAGAGCAGACATCTGTGGCAGAAGTTGATGGTGACGATGAAACAGGTATGCTGTCTCGGTGCCAAGATGTCAAGTGTGTAAAACTAAACCTAATGATTCCTTCAAAGCACAATTTAAGTGATGACGGAAGAATTTGTTTTTTGTTGGCAAACCTGTTGTTCAGCTAATAAACTAACGATCATAATTATACAAGATTGCTGGCATTCCACTAACCTTTAGGAGCCAACACTCCTTGTATATTTGTATGTATTCAAGTACAGTAGCATCTGATCAAATCTGTAAAAAAAAAAAAAGCAGACCATCCTGTCTTTTCTGTTTCAATAATAATACAGGTTACACAACTACTACTAATACTACTTTCATGTTACAAATGGTTGAGAATGACCACACCCACAACAAGAGTATGCAGATTTATTGAGTTGTTTTATTGTGTATAACATCTGATAAAGCCAAAAAGCAGGAAGTAAAAAATTCACTACAGTTACTACACATTACAGTTTCTATAACACAGAGCGCACAGTGGATATCACCAGCATACTGGAGCAATATAGACTTCTTAATTCTTCATGCTAAAAAAATCATCAAAACTACACTGAGTAACTATTGGCAGAATATTGTAGGAAATTCGCAAATGTGCCATGTGTTGACTGGAGGAGAATCTACACTTCAACACTTCTCAGTTGTCTTATTTCAGTTGTCTTTGACCTCCACCTGCAGGACAGGTTGGAAAGTGTCAGTCATCATTGCTGTGATGGTGACATTATCTTTCTTGTACTCAATACTTTGGCCCCCTTTTTTCCTGTCAAACGTGCCTGTGTTGTTGTACATCCGATAATAAAGATCATGATCACATAACACACTCTTATCAAAGATTCCCACTGCAAACCAGTTGGAGTACAGGTTGTAATCATAGGGCACAGAGAACATGACAGCTATCTTCTCAGTGGATGCATTTGTAGATTGGTTGAGGTCGTAAGTGAAGACGCCAACAGCTCCTCGAGCCGTGTTGGGAGTCTTAGTGAACAGAGCATTCCCAGTTTTAGACGGGTCGATGGTAAGCGGCAAAGGTTCAGTGCAGGAGCCACTGTCACTGTGTAAACTAGAGATAGTGGAAGAATGTTAATAAACTGTGTCTCTGCATAGAAAACATATTTCAGATCACAGATCAGTTGAAGTTACCTGGGGTTACGGAGGGTGTAGTTAGAGCATTTATTTGTAATCTCAATGGAACACTGGCGGTGTGTTGGAATTAGTCCAGCAGCATTACCACCGACTGAAATTGCTGCATCAAGAACATTGCTGGCAGAACACATTGTGTCCGCAAAGGCTGTAAACTTTTTGCCTTTAGGCATAATGGCTGTGCAACAAGACGACCTGTTCAGACGGACAAAGCACACAACAGACCCTTCATTTGAGTACATTAAAGTTTTCTGCTTTTAGATGAAGTTGGCAGATGCAAAAATTGCTCATGTTCCAGATGAACACTGGAGCATTTTCCTCTTGGTCCAGACAGAGTAAGAGGTCATTATTTCATTTAAATGCAGCAATGCTTACCTGGAATGAACGCTTCTAGAGGACGGCTGCAAGCTCTGGGTGTAAGGCTTTTAGGCCGTCTCCTTATAAAGGTAATGGAGGACAGATGAGAAAGGCTGCACCTGTTTGTGTAGGACCCTCCTTCCAAACAAGAGCCTTCATTATTTCATATCAGTAAAAATGAAAGTAAAAAAACGTGTCATTGAACATGTTTGTGACCAAACTGGCTGAGACAGCGCTAAACCACTGTCATGTTTTGACCTTTTACCAAACAGAAAATTGTCAAAGCACAACTGTGACTGCTTGATTTTACACTGGAGCTTATCTCAAATTCCAGGTTATATTAATATTATATAAATTAGTGTACGTGTACCTTTAAGATGTAAGGATAAATGGTCATATTTATGGTGGCCCTGAGAGATATATTTGCAGCACAAAGATTTATATTATTTATTTGCAGCTTACTCTCATCACAGTTAGAGTCGAATGAACACATCTCCTTGCGATGTCATAGTTTAAAGTTCATACCCAACTGTGATGCTACTATAGGCGAAGCTCTTATACCCCTGGTTAAGTCATTTCTACAACAGTTTCAACAATACAGAATCAGTAGAAAAATACAGAAAGGCATAGCCAGATGTCTCTGTCATATATGTTCATGATTGTAGGGAAAGCCAGCAGTGAAAATATATCATTGTGTGAACTTTGATAAACACATTCCATTCGCTACTACTAAGCATAAAATCATCAACAAACTCTATGAAAAGAAAGCTTTCTCAGTTTTCTCTCACTTGCAGCTTCATGACAGGTGTGTAGCATTTGGAAAAAGTATAATGCTGCCAATTGGATTTATTTTTCTAGTTAACTTTTATAAGTTAACTTATGTATGTAAAATAGTTGACTCCTAGGTGAAAGATCTGTTTGACCCATTCATCATTTACCCTTTATGGCCTACAGTAACATAACAACAACATATAAGTTTACAAGCCTTAAAGCTTATTTAAAGGACATGTGTTTAGGACTTAGTGGCATGTAGCAGAGTTGCATTTTCTCGCAAACAGCACAAAAGGCCACAATGGCTGCGCTCCACTCAGCCAGTTCCAGGGTCTTAGCATTGTTCATGCCAGCTCACTGGAAAAGCTACTGTTATTTGCTATATTTTGCTATTGCTTTACTGAGCCATCATTAAAGGAGTCTGCCTCTGTTTCTCCAGCAGCCCAAGACTAAACCCCAAGGAACAGTCAATTTGAAGCCAACTTGACATAGTGGGCAATTGCCTGGGTCTAATTACAGCAATGGCTGAATTATATTTTCTGTAAAATGATGGATATATTTTTATGAATGTCACAACCCCTGCAAAATGACTTGTTTCACAATCATAATTGGATCCATTTTGAAAACACTAGAAGAACCACAAGATTGAATCATTTATTCTCCATTAAAGTTAGTGGAGGGCTAAAATGTATGCCCCACTGAGCAGCTTCCATAAGAATGAACCAACGTTTTTCTTGAGTTTCGCAGCCACCATCGTTTCTCCCACTTTGTAAGGCACCTTTAGTTTAGTTTGTTCTTTAGTTGGCTGCAATCTGCAACGTCACGGCTAGATGCCCAAAAAGATCCTACACACTGCTTCTTTAAATGTGAAAATAACCTATTCAGAAATGTAGTGTTGAAAATGAGCCAAATGAGGGCGAGACATTTTTTAAAGATGACATTCCCCTCAGGCAGAGTGCAGGTGCTCTGAATGATGTGTGTTATTTTTTCTGGAGGCTGTTGGTTCTATTGAAGTGAATGCTTTAATAATCAAATTAATATAATCGCACCAGGAACATTTTCTGTATATGCAGCAGGCCACAGAACTAAAGAGCAACACTATATATGGGAAGGTGGTGGACAACAGACTGACTTTTGCCATCTCTGCAATTGCCAAATAAAAGATTTGTATTTTTTCCTTTACCAGCAGTTGATCAGTTGATAAAAAAACTTCCTAATTTTTCTCTTTTCTTTCCTTTGTCTTGGCAATCCACATCTCTTCTGTACTTTCCCCCAGCAGAATTTACCATTTTCTTCAATACACTGCTTTTTTTTTTCAATTTTCCTTATATAATGACATTGTATAATAATGTTTAATGTGTTCTAGACATTTTTGATTATTAAGAATAAATGACAAGTAAATTAACTTATTTTTTGTGTTTGATATTGTGGGCCACCACTACATACAAAAATCTCAGTTTAATGTGGCATTAGACAAAGGTGCCCAGTTTCACCCTTGGTCTTTTTAATGCCTGCTTTCCTAATTTGCTTAAATGTGTTAATGCAGAGGATGTTGAGATAGGCTGATGATACCTGTTTGTTCCTGTAAAATGAGCTTCAGATAGTCTATGATTAATGAAGCTTTGAAAATGTTTTCTCACTATAAATACAAATAAGTGTGAAATAATGACTGGTGATTTAAGTAGAGGTAAAAAACAACAACTTGATCTTAATGTTTTACCAGGTGTTGGAAGAAACCTCTGTTTTGCAGGGGGGGCTTGCAATATTCAGAAGGTGGTTTTACTGTTTAATATTTCCATACGCTCAACAATATATTTTAAATTGACTGGTTAAAACATTACCTAGTTCAGTTAATTCTCCTAGATTTTATAACAACCTGTTTTTTTCTTTAACATTTGGGACAAATGTAAAGCGGGGTGGATGTCGTGGGCGTATGAGCCGGAACTCAAGTTGGAGTTGGAAATTGCAGCGCTGAGAATTTCCTTATTGTTGTTTTGTTAATCCTTTGTCATCATTAATTACTCATCCCAGCTGCCACGGGGAGGAGACTTGGCAATTTCCCTGGTTTCAGTGAGATCACAAACAACTGGATATTCCCCATGTTTCCTCGGGCTCCTTGTTGCAACACTTCACTCATCTTTTGATCTGAAGTTAAGAGACTTGTTGTGACATGTGTTACACAGACTGGAAATGTATGACATATTTTTTGTATGGCAGTCTTTTCACAGCATGTCATAACTGCCCTCTCATTATTGCTATTATCTGCAAAATCCCCCCATGCAAATAATTGGTTTTCAGCCACAGAATAATAATAAATGTCTTTAAAAGTTTAGGGGACGTAAAAGAATATACGCAGTAGGCCTATTATACTGTGTCTTGGCATTTAGGTCACTTCTGTGAAGAAATGTAAAGTAAATTGTCTAATAGAACAGTGGTCTAGTAAGTATTTATGATTGTTAAAAATTATTGTAAAGAAAAACATAATACAGACTGAAGTGTACAAAAAACAGCAAATAATCTGCTCAAAATTCATCAAAATAACTCCTTTCAGCCAAACTTCCTGCTTTACTGAGTTCACTTTTTGGGTTTATATTACAGTTTTGAATATAATATGAAATATCACTAAAATATTTCACTTAAGCATGATATAAAGGGGGCCAGTAACAATTATCTTAATATTTATTTTCATACATATATTAATTTGGGAAGAAAAAACCTCCCTGCAGTAATGATGCTCATTGGAATCAGCAGTGAAATTAGGACATTATATATTACATAAACAAGAGCATACACAAAATCTATGAATTCATGTTCGAAGCAGTTTTCTGAGTCGTCGCTGAGTTGCACCTTCATGACCGGTTCGTAGCAGTCGGACATGGTGGCCATCATGGTAACACTAATGCTTTTGTGAGCGAGAAGGGGGCCCTTTGCTTTGCCTCTGACAAACCGGTGTCTGTATTCTTTGACATCTCACAATAAAGATCCCGATTGCACTCCTTGCTGATGTCAAACACTCCCACTGCGTACACGTTTGACTTCAAGTTGAGGTCAAACGGCACCTTGAACATGACAGCTATTCGCTCAGTGGCTTTTTTCGTATAATTATTGATGAGGTCGTACATGAAGATGCCGACAGTTCCTCGTGCTGTGTATGGAGTCTTGGTGAACAACGTCCTCCCAGATGAGGACTACTGGATTATAGGAGGCTTGTAGTGTATATCCTGGGCATAATTTAAAAACAGATTTGAATGTAAGACAGGAAATACTAAATTTGACTAAATATCAAAAGATAGAATTAGCAGTTACCTGGGGTTACATAGAGTGTAGTTACGACAACCATTTGCAACCTACACATCACACTGGCGATGTGTTGGCGGTGCTTTGGCTATGACAGCACCGAGTGATATGAGTCCCTGTACAATCCCAGATGCTAAGTTTATAAATTCCATCAAGTCAGACTTCACAGCGTAACCACCTGCTCAGACACACAGACACAGAACAATCACTGCCACTTTCAGAAATACAAATTACATGTAGGCTGTCACGAGGCCAGAGCTGTGCTGATGGGCTTTTTCCATTTTTTTGTGTGTAATAACACCACATGTTAGCACAATAATAACTTTTGTATATATCACTTTTCTTAAAATAATAACAAACGACATGAGAGACAGAAATAAAATGACAGCAAAATGAGATACAGATATGTTAGTTCCAAATATTTGGCAAAAAATTATTTCCTTGAATGAAAAGCTAAATTTAAACACAAGTAAACAGACATGGATTATTAGTATATAATAACTTAGTTTTCCATATTTCTGGAAATTATTCAGAAATTGTTCGCAAATTATTTAATTTAATGGTTTCCAAATGTTTCAATGCTAAATATTCATGAAATAAAGAACCTAAATATAACTCTCTGCAGGGCTGTGCCCAGGTGGGTACATTACTGAACCACACAGCAGAGAGAGAGAAAAATAACAATGCACATATAAACACAAGTAGTTAATTTTCTATGAGGTAAAGAAGGGCAGTTAATGGAAACTCCATTAGAAGACAAGAGGAGGAAGAAATATTTCATTCAAAAACTGTCACACTCGTGCAAATACATGCAGAAATATAAAGCAGGGGTCTCTTACTCAGACTGGCTTGGGGTCACTGCTGGTACTGTAATCTCATTGTAGGGCCACTTTAACGTTCAAGTACTAAAAGAATGCACAGTGTTTCTATTACTAACACCATATTTAATGAAAAATGCAAACAGCAGTTTCTATACATTTTCATTCATTTCAACCAGACAATAAACGAAAGCCCGAAACCTGCTCTCTTCCCATCAGCACATTTG